ATTGCGCTCTTCTTTGCGCTTAAAATAATTTAATTTCGAAAGCATGCATTTCTCTTCAGTAAAAATACTTCGTGAATAAAATTAATTTTCACCATGTGCTAAACCTTCAAATGGATTAAGCTTTTGGTGGTTGAATTTCGAAAAGATGTTCTCAATATTACTGTTAAAAATTTGTTTGGGCAAATGATTGAGAGCGATATAAAAGCTTTTCAAAGTCCGTTAAAATGCAGTTATTTGACCTTTTGCGGTCAACATTCCATCACGAGTCACACATATTTTAATATGTTTCAACCTATTGCCGCAGGAGACCGATCCAGAGACCATTTTAGTGTGATTCTCTTGTCGTTCGTCGTATTTAGGTCTGTATAAGTGATAACGTTCGATGAAACCACCAACCCTGCCGAACACCATCTTGTTGTCAAACGTTCGATATCTATCTTCACTGTGGCATCTTATTCAACGGTTCAGTTGAATGCGAGTATTGCTCAGTTTACAATGCACTAAAAAATTACATCTTACAGTCTCATTCAATGCTAAACTGAGTCGACTACAAACATGTACGCCCTTTGAGTATTTGGGTTGTCACGCAATACCGGTGACAAAGGAACTTTAGGGGGTAGGTGAAGGGCAAAACTCCATATAATTAAGCACTATCAGAATTGAACTCTTGGAACCTACAAAATATTTTATTCTGTAAACATTTTTGTAATAGTGTCATCTTTGTCTGGTGACAAACAGTAAAATACATTTATTTATTGCAGGGAATTATTCTTGTTTTTTTTGGCGCACTGTGCCTGTCGTACTTATTAGGGGTGTTTTTCTTTCCACTAAAATTGCAAGGAATACCCTAATAGCATGAAAGAGAACCTTCTATACATTTTTACAACACCATGCTACAAAACGCAGTGGTGGGGATGTGTGGCTTATGTGAGGCTGGGGTGCTATGCTCCGTGGCCAATGGGTGGGGCTTGCATAAGGGAGTGGTATTATTAACCGCTGTTGACAGACCCAACTACCGTTTAAAACCATAAACTACAGATGGGCCAACATATGTGCGCTCGGCACAAAATAAGGTCGATCTCATCTTCAGGACCGGTAAATTTGAAAGCCGACTCGTGACTTGCGATATTCTTGGTGCATGAAAGTAAAGGAACAATTTCCGTTTCACGCATTCGATCTCTAGTCTTGTAACCACAAACTCCGCCAATAAGCAACTTAAACGAACAACAACCTTCCATTTTTTATGTAACAAAGTTGACTGTGTAAGTTAGTGTATTTGTGAAAAACAAAGTCCGAAGCCCCGCCTCTAAGCGAACAATAGGCACGTGTAATTACCATAAACCAGGTTTTGTTTCAGCAGATACTAAATTTAGCTTTCCAACGAGTATAAGCCAAAGGCCCGATCTCTGCGACTTACATGTAAGAGATTTCGATGTTCACAACAACAAAAAAGCTTAGCAGCAGAGTGACGTCTTTTTACTTTCCCCTTCCCCTACCCCCTAAAAAAAACTTTCCATTGTATGATTTGCATTGCGTGACGACTCTCCGTATACAAAACTACGTTGACTGCAACATATGTGTAGTGCCACTTTTAAAGCATCGATCAGATCTACTGCACCACAAACCGAACAACACTCACAGTCAACTGAACCGCTGGATAAGATGCCACAGTGCAGAAAGATGTCAAACGTTTTACAACGAAGGTTGGTGACAGTTTGCAGATCGACAGGCAGTTTCATCGAATGTTATAAATACGACGAGCGACAAGATAACCAAAGTAAAATGGTCTTTGGATCTTTCTTCTACAGCAAATGAGGTTAGAGCATTTGGAAATGTGTACCCATGTACATTTTCCGGCCTCATATGGGTTGAATCATATTAAAGTAGGTGTGTGACTCGCGACTGGAATGTTGACCGCGAAAGGTCAAATAACTGCATTTTAACGGATTTTGAAAAGCTTTCGTATCGCTCTCAATCATTTGCCCAAAGAAATTTTTATAGTAATATTGAGAACATATTTTCGTAATTCTACCGCCCAAAGCTTAATCCATTTGAAGGTTTAGCACATGCTGAAAATTAACTTTACTCACAAAGTACTTTTACTGAAGAGAAATGTATGCTTTCGAAATTAAATTATTTTACACGGAAATAGGAACGCAGTGTTTACAAAAATCGTTTTGTGAGGTCTTATGAGGTTGAAAAAGAAGATTTGAGTGTTAAAAAGACGAGATTGCGATTCGTTTTTGAATGCGAAGCCCTCAAACTTGTGCAATAATTTGCAGCTAAAAATGACGATTTTAACGGAATTTTTTTATTTGTATTTTCTCTGAAATAAAAAGACATTTTGCCAAAAAAAGTACCCAGGGATTTTAGTTATAGTCTAGCCTATCTAATATTAAAATAAGAGAGAATTTTCCACCCTTGCCGCGAAATTTTGAATTTGTCTGATTTTTACAGACAAGCGCTCTTAATAACAAGCGCTTAGCGATGTAATTGGTTATCTAAAATTTGTTTGTGATTGGCTGCCGTGAATTTCTTTCTTCGTTTCAGGCGGAAAGCAAATCTTATGCAAGCCTGACCTTCAAATTTTCCCAACATTCAAAACTGCCCTCAGTTTTCAGCCTCTCGCTTTCAAAGTGTACTTTCGGAAATGCAATCTTTTTTTCCGTTACCGCGATGGATGCGGTCTACGCCCTAAAATGCCAAGACCGTACCTTATACGAATTAGGAGGGCAAGTTTCTAAAGAATCTGTGGTGCTGCATCGGTGGGAGGGTACAATAAGGTCATTTGGTATTATCAACTGAGTTGATAATGTAAATTGGCCACCGTTAATGAAAGATTCGCTCTGACGAAGGGCTAACGCTCGAAACGTTTGCTTCGAAACTCTGAGCGGTGGCCAAGTTACGTTATCAACTGTGAGAGATCCAGTCACGGTGACAGAGAAAATCAATGAGAAACTCACAGTAACAGTATTTTTACAGCCAGAGATACCTTTACAGAGACATTGAGAGAAGGGCAGAGAAACCGACAATGATATTTACATTGACAGTAACAGAAACAAATGCTCTAGCAGTACAAGAGACAGTAACAGTGAGAGCGATGATGAAAGAGAGAACGATAGAGACCTACCCTAAAACTGGAGTCTTTCCCCAAATACTAACACTAACACTAACCCTCGCCCTAACTATAACTATAACCATGGCAAGGTAGAGCCTTTCATATTTTTTTAACCCGGTTCTATCTCTGTTGAGTAGTCAGTCCTATTTACCAGGGTTGGTATCTGAAGGCAGAGCCTTGCACTTTTCCCCAGGTTCTCCTTCTTTTGGGCTGAGGGCAGAACCTTTAATTTTTTTATTCTGGTGTTGTGTCTCCTTGGAAGCCGGTCATCTTGGACTGTGCGTTTGTACCGTTAGGCGAACCAGATTTGAGTTGGAATCTCCACAAAATGAACATCACTTTGCTCTGATTGTACAATTGGTTGTCTTTACAGGTCAGTGATTTTTACTTAACTAATGGAGAAGCGCGTTAACAAAGTCATCTTGTTGTAAGCTAAAAGATTTTTGTTGTTACCATGACAATGACAGAAAGAGTGACAGTGGTAGTGACAGAGACAGTGACACCGACAATGAGAACGGTGACGGTGACAGTAAGAGTGACAATTACTATAATAGTGACACTGACAAAGTCAGCGAACAAGGAAAACTAAAGGTATATGAGCATAAAACATAAACATAAAGTGCATGAGATACTACCACTGCTACAAGATACTAATGAGGTGCCCCCTCCCATTGGCCCGGTGGCTTCCTGGGTCTCCTCGACTTCTTTAAATTGTACTGCTATTGAAATTATTTTGTGTGTCGTTAATAAGGCAAATCATGATAAATGATGATGATGACAATCATGATGATGATGACAATCACGATGATGATGACAATCACGATGAAAATGATGAAAATGCACGAGATACAAACGTAACAATCGGACACCAAGGAAAACAAAACATGCCCACATTGCCAAGGAAAACTGAAAGTGCGTAAGATAGTAGTGTAACTATGGAAGAGAAATACAGCTTGCTGGCACTCAAAATTGAGTGGATTCAGAACACGCTAATGAAACGGCACGTTCATGTTTGAGATCAGGTAAAGTTTACTATGACTCTCACTGGTACAAATGTAGGGTACAAATGTAAGAAGTCATTCATATAAAACATCAATAGAAACAGCGGAATCAAAAGACCTAAAGCATAGAAACATAGCAGTCAATTAGCAACTAAGCAGACCTATGAGGGAATGACATCTAACAACATCTACGACACCTACACGCCAGTAAAAACAAACCAAGGCGCGATAGAAAAACGACACTTAAACTTTCAACTTCTTTCCTAAATGAATACTAGCAGTAAAGCAACTGAAACGTGGCGATCGATACACGATTGATTAGCCCGACTCTTACATTGTAAGCCACATTTATCAATAAAAAATATATGAAGAACAACGTTTTCTATAATATAAGAACATTGTTTAAGGTGGATGCATGTGTTACTTGTAATTTAATAGTTCAATGGGACCTTGACCTTGGATGTCTGGTCGTATTTACGGTGAAATGTCAATATGGAAGGTTTGCTAACCTGTGTAAATAAACCAAAAAGGGTTGTTCGATCGATCAGTACCATGAGCTCTTTCTGAAAATATGCCTTTGCTGTTTTTACATGGGATAAAAAAAATATGGGTGACAAACTCATGATTTCTGGCAAAATGACTAAAATTTTGGGTGACATGATTTCGGGTGAGATGACTTTCAGGCTACTTGACTATTTTTGCTCAAAACGGTTTTGTGAACTTTAAACAGCAATTTTTTGATGAATCTCTACTACCACAACTTTTCGTGTGTTCTTTTAACCGTATTCTTTTGATCATTTTCATGGTATTAGGTTGCCACAACAACTCTACATTATTTAAGAAGCAACCTTACTCAGAAACTAGTGTTACTCACAGACTAGTTTGGTTATCCCCATTTTATTATCATTGCATTATAATCAGCCAGTCAATATTCACCTTTCTGTCAAGCTTGTCTGTAAACACAAGTCACAGGAACCTTAAATTATCATCCAAGTGATATTGCCTTGAAGTAAAATTCTAAAAAAACTGTTTTTAATTTCTATTGACAGTTCAAGGTAACAGGGTTTAAAAAGACAGATCTCTGCAGGATAACATAAACAGCGTGGTTATTTGATGCAATGAATTTCCAAGGTAGTCAGCATTAACTGAGTGTGTCAAGCTGATTCTGAATGGTTTCCAGCTTAAAGATAAAGTATCAAACAAGTAAAAGATTATTAATTCTATCTTTTTAAGTTTGTTTTAGTAAATAAAAAACATAACCTTGTATCAAGTTTTCAGATGTAAACAATATTTCACATTAGAGCAGCCCAATGTTGGCAGAAGTTCTTTTCAGGAACAGTGTAGTGACTTTGAGTATCAATATGTTTTGCTACCTCTCTCAAATTAGCCCTGTTTACATCAGCCTTTTGAAACATTCCACCATCAAAATCACAATTCATTGATAGTTTGCTGGCACTTCCCCAAGTAAAATAAGTGTAAAGCAAAAAGTCTGATGCATGATTACACCCACTAAATGATTTCTTCATCCGAGTAAAAAGGGAAAGCCCAAACAGCAATAACATGAGTGTAATTAAGACCAAGAGTATGTGAAAAAAAAAAACAACTTGTCCTCGCATACCTGATTGTAAAAAGCATAAAGTTCTCCATGAGTAAATTCTAAATGGACTTGTTCTTCACTACACTACAAATGAAAAGGAAATAACTTAAATCAAGTTGCTAGAGCAGATCACAATAATTGTGATTATAAAGAATAACTTTACCTGGCTTCCTGAGGAAAGGTTTAGTTCAAACATGGCATTTGGGAGTTTCATCTTTGTCATACTGCTTTGTGCCATTTGAAGGTTTAATCTCCAATTTACTTCTGACAGCTATAAGAAACAAAAAGTGGATAACTCATCAAGTTTCACCTCAAAGTAAGTTTGGTGCTTGAGGAGCCTCTCAATCAATGGATTGCCTTTCACCCTTTCAAATTCAGTCTGCTGCTGAGGTTTCCAACATTCTATCTAAAGTGGGACAGCTTCTCAGCTAAATATTTGACACTTCTGAGCTTACAAGGCCTCCACAAACTAAACCTAGGTCTACCATAGGCAGCCCAAGTTTGTCATGTGAACTTCAACTTAATAAGCTATTCCATGTTACTGTTAAACAACATACACACACTACCATCCTCAAATTAGAACTTATACTAACATGAGTACCCCTTTCAAACAAGTGTCCCTTCTTAATGGCTGAAATGTTTAAATAAGTGTTTCCCCTTGAAAATGTGCCCTGTTCCCTGTCCCCTCTCCCTGTGTTTTTGAAGAAGCAATCACATTTGCTTAACTTACTGCCTAACTACAGTATTATTTGGATTGGCAAATAAATATTGTGCTACATGGTAAATTATTTTCATTTCAACAAGGTTGCTGTTTTAACCAAAGTTAGCAACTGCAGACACCTCATGATTACAATTTTGCTCAGGTCATCAGCCCACACAAACAAACTTCATTTCAAAGAAATGTACATTGAAATTCCTAAATTCACTGACTGTAACCTTTTTAGAAAAAGAAATCCTCTAAAAGGATGTAGTTATACTGGCTATGTTTTTTTGTTACCAGCCTATGTAAAATGTAAAACCAAAAGTTGGGTAATCAGGTTGTAGCCAAAGAAAGCAAAGAGGAATTGCAGGAGAAATGTGGAAAACTGGTAAAGGTGAGAATATGATTGTTGATGAGAAAGGCCATGATACATGGTTAATGAGCTCACTGACACTTTAACTCAGATATATAATGAATGTTTCCTGCTCATCAAAGTGAAAATATCATCTTGTGATCTTCCTTTTATGTCGCCATTAATTAAACACCTGTGCAACTTAAGGAATAAAAGCATGAAGAAACATGGGCTCCTCAAAGACACCAGGCTGCAGGAACTAAATATTAGTTTTCTTTAATTTCTTTCAACACAGAAAAAGAACCAAGGGTTGGTGGGACACAGTCACCAACATAACTGGCAAAGAATCAAATAACCAAATTATCTCATCCATCATCAAACCAGAAACTATCAATTCTTATTTCAAAGAGGTCAACATCAGTCTGCTGCATACTGCCCCTGAACAACTTCCAATACCCAATGGAACTAGAATTCCCACTTTTGATGTTAATACAGTCAAATGGTTCCCGCTTAACCAGAAATGAACCTCTGCAGGCCCTGATCAACTACCCCATTGGTTATGGAAAGACTATGCTCACCACCTTGCAGTGATTATCACCAAGATATTAAACCACTCTATCATGCACCAGTCTGTTCCTACACTTTGGAACACTACAAATGTCAGACCAATTCCAAAAGAGTCACCAATTACTGAATGCACACAACTCAGACCAATTTCTCTAACCAACACCATTACGAGACTTTTTGAAAGGCTGGTGTTCAAACAAGAAATATCAACAGAATTTGAGTAGATCATTAACATTAACCAATTTGGATTTAAGGAGGGGTGCAACACTACTCTAGCCCTCCTAAAATGGTAACATTTCTGGTTATCTACAGTAGATCATGACTCTTACTATGTGGACTTGTTGTCCTTTGACTTTAGTTAGGCATTCCACACAGTATCCCACAAGATTATCTGTAACATTGCTTGTGACAAGCCAAAGTCTACCAACATAAACCCATATTGGACAATCAGAAACAAAGAGTAGTTGGTGACAAAGTGGTAACTGCCTTTGTTGACATTAATAGGGGGTTCCTCAAGGCACCAAATTAGGACTCATTCTATTTTCTCTTATGGTGAATGATATTACAGCTGTTTCTCCAATGAACAATGTCCTAGTGAAGTATGCAGATGACATTAAAATAAGTGTCCCTGTTAAGCAAAGCACAGATGCTCCTACAAATGAGATGTCTCTCTATTATACCAAAACATGGAAAATGTGCATGCATGGCAAAACTACCAAGTTATCCCCTCCAGAATTACCAAGAATAAAAAGGAAATCATGCTTAAAACTATTAGAGGTCACGTTTTAGGAAGATGCTGTGAACTGGGACATATATATTGACAAGATACTATCCAAAGCCAGCAGCTGAATGTACATTTTTAGGGAATGCAAATCCTATGGATATTCCAAAGATCAACTCAATAATTTGTTTAACTTGCTTGTCATGTCCATATTCTTGTATAGGGTGGAAGCCTGGGGTGCAGCTTAACAGCGTAAATATCTAGACAGAATTGGCAGGTTTCTCAAGAGGGCCCACAGGTTTGGCTATACCACAAAGAAAACTACTATACTTGACTTAATTAAAGATAGGGACTCTATGCTTTTTAAGAATGTAATCAGTGATGATCATACACTTCATGATTTGCTACCTCCAAAGAGATGTTTGCTCTGTGAGTGCAAGCATGACTTTATATTACCTAGAGTTAAAACCGAACGCTTCAAGCATTGTTCCCTTAATATATGCCTCTTCAATTCACTTCACTGTATATAAGAAACTTCATGTTTCATAATGTTACAATGTTACAATTTTTATATATTCTTAATTATACTTATAATTCTCTTAATGATATATTGTAAAGCTACACATTTGTTGTTTCTGATTTATTAAAGTAAAATTGAGACGGACACCTGCATTGCTAAAAGTAGCCAGTCATAGTACTTAATAAGTTAAGGTTCCATTGCCTGTGAGTTACGGGGTGATTCATTTGCAGACAAACCTTCACTATACTCATTCATGCCCTATATACCACAATTAAACAAAATAAATGTTTCCTCCATCATATAAACAACCTGTTTAGGAGAAATACTTCTTTGCTTCAGCTTTTCTGCAACAGATTTTCCATTTGCAGTCCATAGATTCACTAGAGCTTGAACCTGGCAATATCAAGAAAAGTATTACTAACTAATGGGTACGAAATTTTATTTGTTTCTTCTTCCTGAAAACAAAAGTTATAGTTCAACACTTTCATACATTGTTCCAGACTTATGTGGAACCTCCAGTTTTCTAACTTTTGGTGATGTTTAACTAGAAAATAAAGGCTTCTTAAATTATATGTCACATGTTATAGTTATGGAATAGACAACACTTTCTATCAGTTTACTGGCATAACAACCACCTCAAGATATTGGGAGAACATGAGAAAAGTTACTTCGGTAAACTGATAGAAAGTGTGATATTCTGCTTTTATAAAATAAACTTAAAACAAAAGAAAGTATGCTTAAATTTTCCACAGAGTAACCAGCATGATAAATTGTAGGTTTTTGACCAATCAGAGTACTTGTGGTAAACTTTCTAATATCAGTGACTACAAGAGCTCACAAAACTGCTTCCAGATTCATAATTGAACTGACCTGGAATTATCAAATAGAACAGTACAAGCAATTTAACATAGTTTCCTTTGAAATGTAAATAGTGAGTGCTGCCCAATGAAAACACAAACATCTAAAAATTGGAAAGTTGTTCAGGGGTACAAACCTGTACTTTCACTTAAGGTTACCGTAGACCTTTAGGAGTATCTTGCAAAATTAGTTTGTAAACATATTGCTTTTCATAAAACCCTTTAAAAGTATATATCACCAAAACCTTAAAAAATGTGGAATCCAAAGAAATAATCATTTTAGAGATCAGGTGTAATTATATGTGCAGGCAAGCTCTAAAGTAAAATATTGATGCTGTTTGATAAATTTTAATAACCCACTTTTATGTTTGCATGCACAACCAAACGAACTGCACAGTGTAAATCAACATTCAATATTCCTATCAGCTCCTGAGAAAATCTACTTTGAACTCTGCAAATGAAACATTGGCAATTTTTGTCAGATATGAAGGCGTAAAAGGAGAAGTTGGAATATCAAAAAGCCTCACACCCTTTGGCATTAATAGCCAGTTAGCATTTTGACCATGGTTTGTAAAAATTTGTATAATCTACATACCCTATTACTTCTCCTGAAGTTAGAGAATCTACATAAAACTAAAGATTGAGTTTTCCGATACTAAAATGTTTCAAGCTTATCACACCTTATCAAAGCAGTTGTCATTGCCGTCATGTCCTGGACTGATGAAAACAGTGTTTTAAAGGATTTAAAGTTATTCTTAATTTTTAAAATACCAGAGCAACCTCTAGAAGTTACCTTGCCATCACTGAACTTCAGTACTCTGAATAACTGTTTTTGAATACAAAGAATCTAGTATACATGTAAGTGATGTCACTTACTAATCAACCATGAAAACCAACTTAAAAATATTTATCACACAAAAAGAATTCTAAGCAAATATTATAAACCAACAATTTTTGGTAGAAACAAAATACAAAAAGGGACCTTTGGACTGATGCAGAAAGAGTCTTTCATAGAGGGAAATGACAAAACACCTTTTCATCTGCTAATTGAATATCCAACAATTGCTGCGTCAAAAGTTGTGCTTTGGCATTGTGATATGCTGCCTACAAGACAAGGTAAAAGAAATCAAGAATAGAGTCATTCTAGTTTCCTTCATTATGTAAACTGTTGTCAGTGAACATACTGTAATGTAGTGCTATAACTAAAACTACAAATATAGAGCAATTTTTCAACTACAACTGCTTGTCAATGATTTCACCTGATGATACGACACTTTGAAATCCACTTCACTTTCCATCTGTTGTAATGACCATTTGATGTTGTTACAATAATCACATATGATTTTACATAAACAAAATGTTGTTCTAGTTTAAGCAATGTTCTTAGAATGTGCACATGCTCATTTGCATGCTAATACTGAGAAATCACATTAAGTCAATGATTAACTGAATTCCATTTAGCAAAATATATCTAGGTTACCTGTTCAAGGATAAAGGCTGCAGTTTCCAAAACCACATGAAGATCATTTGCCTCCAGTTCCAAAGCACCTTGAAGCTTAATTTCCTCCTCCTCTGAAAATGCTCTTTCATCCTAAGATTGAAATAGAATATTTTTTATAAGGCTTACACCTATCATTACATAAGAATTTGTGTTAGATTTGGCCAAAAGTTCTTTTTGATAAATAAAGACCAGTTACAAGAAAACATGGGTATAACTTAGCACAAACACCAGACCCTTAATGGGTTGCCTATGGCTAAATTCTGCATGGTAAGTAGCTAAATGAGGCCATTTCATTAAACAGTAGACCTTTCCTGCCAGGAGTTCAAAATTTCTTAGACATGACTATCATATGAATGTAGAGGTCTGAAGTATAGTACCACTTGCATGTACCACAGCTTGAAACACCCTTCACACACACACATTCATGGGACTGCATGCCCGCAACATGCTAATGCACCTTGGTGTAATAAAAAATGCATGCATGTCAAATGCATGCCAGTTAATTAGAGCTCATTGAATGCAAGAAAATGTATGTGTAATAGGAAACAAAGATTGGATTCACAATTCTTTGTTATATTTCCAACAAGCTTGAGCAAGTCACAACACTTACTTTGTTTTCTTGTGAATTGAAAATTTGTTTTAAGAATAAAAAAAGATTACCTTGCACTACCTCAGCTTTTCTTCCAATAGCTTTTTTCTGGTCTCAAAAGTAGAATTATTGAACACTGAATGAAGTTTTGGAAGTAAGAACAAACAAATTATGAAGTGCTCCACTGACTCTTACATTGAAAACACAATCATAATTGCTTTAAGGAAAAAATCAATTTGTTCTGCCTCCATAATTTTTTGCCTTGAACATCACCCAATTATTCCTTAATGTTTGCTAACTAAAGTGCAATTTCAGAATGCATAAAAATAACTCCAGATATTCCTCAATTAACAAAACAGGACAAGGTTTGATTAAAATCATTGACAATCAATCGAATGAAAGACTCACAAAGTGAACACAAGAGAAGTACTGTTTATGTTGCCCTCTTTTGAGAACTTGGCTGCCTTAAGGTGATTCCTCAGTTTTGCACTGTGCATCCTGTGCGCATAAAAATCACATAATCAGGGGAATGAGCACACGCATATTCCAAGAACAGGGTAGTTTTTCAATCCCTGGACCAAGTAAAGAGGTATGTTGGTCTTCAGCTCTTGAATGGGCAGGGTGACCTACATTTCTTATTTCATAATTTTGGAAAACAAAATATCCCATTTAAATGAGAGAAATAAAAAAATCATCAAAGGGAAAATAAGATATACCTAAAAAGCCTGCATGAAGCCTATTACTCAAGGATGCACATCATGACCTTGAGAGCAGTGACTCAAGAAACAGTTTAAGTCAATGTCATTTAAAATTGCATAATTTTTCTATTTAGAATACATCAAATTATTCTATACTCTCAAGAATTTATACCAATCAAGTTTGTTTCAAGTGTTACTTTAAAATCCCTTGCTTCCAACTTCCACAAAATGCTCAGTGAAGCCATGAAATGATGTATGTACATGTAATTAGCACTGGTACCAGCATAATTAGGATAAGTTCGGCCCATCACAACTTTTAAACAAGCATGGTGACCTATCTTTTTTGTATTCTTTGAAATGAACACTGGTGGGGAACATTTAAGGAATACAGTTTGAAAAAATTGTTCAATAACTTTATTTTCTGAAGAATCACCTTAAGTATTTGTGCATGGCTCTAAGACAATCAATGTTGGCTACAGGAAATAATGTTATGCATCTGGTGCAGATCAAATGGTGCCTTGCTGTGAACTTCAACCATGGAATGTCTGCCATGACCTGGATTGATTTATAACGCTCTACTTCCTGCTCCTTCATGCATTTCCATAACAGTAGTTGGTGTTCTTGAGATAATAGTGCAAGTCACTTAAGTTTTTTGACAAGCTACATTAAATTTGTTCTGCTTCATCCAACTAACTTCCCAGCACTCAAATTATGTCAATGAAGAAAGCAATTACTCTTCTCTGATTACAATGCCAGAGAACTTTTCATGCAGTAAGGCTCATTCACATAAGGGAGCAAGTTATGATCAACTTTGCATTTTTCCATTATTTAAGAAACAGCACATCAATTTAAATACAAATTGCCCCAGTCATAGCATTTTTGTGAAAAACTACACACAAATTCCCACTGTGAATAACAAAAGACAAATTGAAATACACACCTTTGGGTGTGCACATGTGTAACTTTTCTTCTGCAAGCTCATTAACACAAACTCCCAAGCAGATGTAATTCATATCTATTACATAAGCTTGATTGGCATGGGTGCTGTTACAGAACATGCAAGTAGTACTATAGGTGAAGTGGAAAAAAGCTTTGGCCAGGATAATTATGCAAAGTTCTTGGTCACAACACTTTATTATCACAATCCCTGTCTTCATCCAGCAGTATACAACATGCAAAATGCGTACCACTGAACTCTCAAAAAAAATAAATGATGGGCACTTCTTTGAAAGGAAAACACCATCCAGGATGAGTATGGATATTTGTTTTAATTCATACTGTTGCAGCGAGTGGGATACATACTTGCAGCCAAGGGCAAAACATTACATAAATGCCAGTGAAATAGAATTTTAGAATGAAAAGGCAAAGGTCAAGTGTTGTCATCATCAACTAAAAAATAAAATTAATAAATTAAAAAACAGGGTTATGATAATCAAGTTGTAGTCCTCAACAATTTTAATAAACTGTTGCTCTCAACTAAACACATGCATGTCAAGTTGAGACACTGACCCTCAAATGAAGCTTTTGTACAATTCTGCTAAGCAAAAGACGAAACTTGGCAGTGTCTAAGCCATTTATTAGTTCAACTGCTTTCTTTAACCTGTGGAAAAAAGATATTTAAAGAAATTTGGTGATGTGAATCATTTTATTTTAAGTTTTTAATACAAAGTAAAATTGAAAATAAAAATAAACTTTAGCTTCACTTCAAGTGAAGCAGTGAATGTAGAAGTGAAGTGAAGTCACACCTCAAAGTAATTTTTTTTGGGGGGGGGGGGGGGGGGGGGTGGAGAGAAGGAGGATTGTGTGGAATTCAGGAAGAAAAGGGTGTGGTCATTTGTCCCTGGAATTGCTTGATTGCTTTCATCTGGACAGAGATTTATTATTTTACAGTAGGATTTGGAACACAATTAGTAGAAGTAGAAACATGCTTTTTCACCCCACCACACTTTCCCCTTTTGCATTTCAACTGTTTTATGCCTGAAATTATTAAATCTTCCACAACATGAAAGGTGACATCCATTTATTTGAGAACCATTCCATTCAAGTTGACAAATGTAGAGTCCTATCATCAGTTTTTGTTTTCTTTTGATCAATCATGGGCCCTAAAAATTGAGAAAATTCCTTGTTTTTTTTGCCACATACATGGCAGCCATGTGGCTACTGTAACTATTTTTGGCAGTTGAAATACAAAATGTTCGCCCAAATATGGCTTTTTTTGTATCAAGACACTTTACAATTGTGATATTTCCAGAGTATGCCAAACAAGCACCTATAACAGTGCCTTCAGGTGCAGCTTGTTTGGTGCCTCCTCCAATATTGCAAAACGTAATTGCATCAAAGTCCAAGAGGAGAAGAATTGAAACTACAAGCAAAAGTAAAGCACATAACCATGGGGTAGTACTTATATTTTCCAAGCAACAAGCTCTAATCAAAACTGGAAAAACCTCATTTACCTGCTTCTTTAAATTTTCAAAACAAGGCAACCAGAGCTCTTTTCCATGGCAAGAAGTGCTTTGAATTTCATTATGGTATGGTTTTGTATAAATAGATCAATATGTCAGATATGTTACCATAAGACAAACCATATGAACCACACACACATTTATTCCAGCACTGTATCTCCATTTTTCTTCAAAATTCTTTCTTCAAAATAAAACGAAATCTGTGTAACCTATATTAAGCAGTCAACCTGTATTTGGTGGTCACCCCACCATTCCTCATAGGTGACTTCTTGACACAAGTTCATCTGTATTTGTTTTGCCTATTATTAACTATGTTGAAAAGCAGCTAAGTGTTGTAAAAAAGCAAAACAATGCAAATTTTGATACAATCTGGTGTGCTTGGCGACAATGTAAGCAGTAACTTTCTAAAGGAACTGCCGTGTTGCTTTGGTGAGGTAGAGGAGGTGTAACAAGATAGATTGGTTTTGTCAACTGAGCTATTAATGTAAATGAATTACAGTCAACTTGTCCACAAATCAAACTGCTCATGCCAACTTGCCAACTATTGCCTTTTAAGAGGTGTCCATTAATGTGAGGATCCTTTCCCTATCCATTTATTAATGCACATTTCATATATATGATTTATTCAAAGTCATATACAAACCAGTGTTTGACAACCGGCATACCGTTACATACAAACATTAAAATAATGAGATCTTAATCCCGAAGAATCAATTTGATTTTTTGACTTAAAAACAACACAACATACACAACATCACGAAATTATGACACAAACAAAATAAAACCTCTCTTACCAAAGAAATTGACATTTCCATGGTGTATTAAGTGTTAGAAAGGTGTTAGAAAGAGTCAATAGCTTCTAAGTGTTCGTATTAGACAGTACATATGCCAGCTGCCAAATACTTTGGTTTGTATTGCAAGGTGAGTTGGTCCGCAGGTGAGTTGGTTGGATACCATGCACATTGGCCATTGCAAAGAGTGGCCAAAACTTTTTCATTTGCTCTGCTCTTTTCTCTCTTCAAACATCTTTTCCATTCATGAATAACAAATAGTTCAGGAGCAAATGTTCATAAGTCAAGTCCCACAGGAATTTCTTGCTGAAAGCAAGCCACTGCACTAGATATGTTCAGAGGATCCTAAGTAACCAGTAGAATTGTGTTGCCACTTTTGCAACCTGCTCAAATTCTGATTAGAGGATGTTTTTAGAAATGCCTTGTAGACCCTACATGAAAACAAGAGTACTACATAAGACATATTTCAATTTTGTTCATTATAGGAAAATAGCACTAAAATAAAACCAAAGACATAAATCTATGTTCTTGTTGATGTCTTAAATTAATATTTAGTAACTGGGCATCACAAGATAAGTCACATGACTAAATGAGCAAGGAGGTGAGGCTGGTCTAATAAAGAATCTTTTGATTTTCCAACAATGTCTAAAATGCTTTGCTATACTTTATAAACAGCATAGAAATTTCTTTCAGCTCAAACTGTTCCTTTCAGATAAAATGTGCCGGTCACATGAATTTCAAAAACATGAAAGCAAGACTGTGATATTTGGCTTTGCTTGAGAGTTCAACTATACCAAAAGGACACTCGCTACCATTCCCAACATAATTACTTAAGGCAATTTACTCAGAAGTATGCAGTGACAAATCTGATCTTTCCAAAAGATAAGAGGCAATGTGCCAGTTTTTTGATATACATGGCTATTCTGTTTCTGTTGTTCAAGCACACCCAATAAATTGATTAACAATCAGCACTATAAACTGCACAGAAGGTAAATACCAATTGCATTCCATTCACTATCACGTTTCACACTCACAACCATGCAGTTAAATCTATCATTCTTAAAACCTTTAAATTACTTCAAAACAATTCAGAGACAGTACTGTCTTTCCACAACCTCCACTAATTTCATTCAAAGGTGACAAAAATGAAGGTAACTTTTTGGTCATTTCAAACTAATTACCAACCTGGAACTTTCAAATGCGCTCGCTCATGATGCAAAACTTGTCCTTTCATTCACAATGTAGAGAAAATGTTCAGACATGAGAAATCCATTGAGATCACTGATCACTGCACATGCACCTCCACCAATGTCATCTAGGGCATAACTTGCATTTATTGCAAAAAGTTATACATTGGTGAAACAGGAAGATGACTAGGTGGCTGATTACAAGAACACCTTCACAAAGTAGAGAACATATGACAAGGACACATCAAAACCAGTCCCTAGGCACCTACATCTCCCAAAATATTCTAAGCAGTATACCGCTGTTTGCGGCTTTTCCCTTCTTCTAGGCAGTTCAGAAAGTCCCATGGTATCAATAAGCACTTTTCATTCAACTAATTTATTCTTGTTTTCTCAGCACCATATTCCCACCAATAGATTAGCTCCATTTTCTTTTTTTTCCCAAAGAATAATTTCTTGATGGTTCCTTCAAGTACTGGTGACAAAAGGGGTGCTTGCAAAGACTTGAATAATGTCTGAGAGCCAAGAAGTAAACCTCTGTGTTGAGAGAATGTCGTAACTCTGGCTGTAGCATCCATGGCATGTAAAATAATCTCTGCATCTACCCCCTCTTGTTTGCTTTGGAGCTAAGAAAATCTTCTCTTGTTCCCATGCATTCTGGCCTCCTACTACAACTACTCATCCCCTGTTTTGCTGGCCAGCCTTGATGGTCTTCTGTGCTTCTTTGCCTTTTTGCCCCTTTGTCCATGTATCTCTTTTTAGAGAAGATGGCAGACTATATTGGCCAAAAACCAACCGGACTCCCTTATTTTCACTGAAGGTCTTGAAAATGTGACTAAGTAATTTAGCTGCATCCACCACAGTAACTCTCGTGTGTACTTGTGTACTTTGGTTGACAGCACTGTTGTTGTCTTCATTTAGGTTCATGCGTAGTTTCACTAAAATACCAAATAGGGCACTCTTACATGAGCGGCGAAGTAATGTTCCATTAGCTGCAAACATTGATCTTGGCAACAAGGAAAACTCGTAAGTACCAACAACTTCTTAGTATCAATCTCTGGCCAAATCTTGAATACGATTATCATTCTTGTGAAGAGGTTCCTGTTCTTGTGCAGTGCCACAATGTTGTTTTCAACCCCTAATTTGATATTTCTGCCAGCAGTCTTCCAAGTGGAAAGCTTCTATTTCTACATAAGGTCCTAGAGATTGACTTTCTCCAAGGGAAAGGGGCAGGGGGAAGAGGTGGGGGTTTGTCTGATTTTTGCTGCATCATGATAATTTACCTGATCCCTCAAGAAGCTCTGTGATTAAGTTATCCCTCCCTCGTTGGCAGTTAATTGGCAGTCAATTATCTACAGGCTCCCCTTTATACTCTATTGGTAACGATGGATTTCCCCTTCATTTCCCCCTGAATTTCTGAACCTGAACTTAAAATTAACATCTATGCTGTTTATGAAGAATAGCAAAGTATTTTAAACATCATTGGAAGGTCAAAAGAAATGTTTGTAGCCCAGCCTCACTTCCATGCTCATTAAGTCATGTGACAAATCTTGTGACTCACAGTTACTAAATGTGTTTGAGACTTCAACAAGATCATAGATTTATATCTTTGGTTCTATTTTGGTGCTATTTTCCTATAATAAACGAAAATAAAAGATGTTTCATGAATTAGCCTCGTTTTCATGCAAGATCCACAAGGGAATTTCTGAAACAACCTCAAAAAAGCGTTTAGTGGCAACACGACTTTTTGGTTGTTTAGGGTCCCCTGAACATATCTTGTGCAGTGGCTTGCTTTCAACAAGAAATTCCCACGGGAGTACAAACGCTGCCAAACTAAAAAGGGCCCTGCGACTTTGCGAGAGCATTCACCTATCACGGGTTTACCCATGTAATCAACGACTTTAGTAAACGTAAGATGAGCGAAGCGACATGGTGCAACAAAGCTAAAAACGATGTGAGCTTCATATAGAGGTATAACCTTTTTATAGTTAACTTATACCCCTAACTTAAGCTGAGTAGGTTAAAAGCTAAAAAGTGCCGAAAAGTACCTTAAAGTTGCTTGAAACATCAGTGCCATCTTGATCAGTTTCTTCTCCGTCTCAGTTACACAGACGAAGCCTGGGTACTAGTTGCGTTTTGAAAAACCTAAAGTTCATCATGGCTGACGACAGGGAAGGAGAAAATGGGAAAATAAATGTTGTTGTAAAAACTTCAAAGAACAAAGAAACCATTGAAACAGAGGCAACTGCAACTATACTGAAGGTAATATCTTGCAATTGATAACTTAATTCAAAGTATTTTTGATAATCTTCTTGCTTTTTTTCTAGTTCAAAGAACTGGTCTCCATCAAATTCAATGCTCCAGTACATCAGTTGTGTCTTATTTTCGCCGGTCGAATTTTGAAAGACGGGGATACACTGGCTTCTTATTGTGAGTCTTTTCATTTCATCGTTGACAAATTATATGTTCGAATCAGTGTGAGGGATTTCAATGTTCTAACTTTCTGGTTTTTATTTAATTTGCAGCAATAAAAGACGGCTTTACGGTTCATCTTGTTATCAAGTCGGATAACAGGGTTAGTTGAATCATTGTTTTACCCTCTGGAAAGTTCGTATTATTTTATTACCGTTTGAGATATTGCAATAAGTAGTTGAGTAATCAGAAAGTAAAATATTTCATCTGGATTGATCAAATCAGCCTTTGACTTTAAAGTAATTGCTTTCTGGCAAGAAAGTGTGATCATCTTTAGATCTTTCTGTTATGTAAGCCATTTTTTATTTAATTCGCTGTTTGTTTGGTGAAAACGTTTCCAAATTTGTGGCATGTTGTATTAATTGAAGTATCCTCCTTGGTACGTCTTTATTGGTATGATCTTTGATTTAATCAAAGAAACTGTTCAGAAACTGTTCACCATTAGTAGAAAACTAATGATGGAAAACTCAGAGCTCTTAAGTCGATTTGCTAGCAAAGAGTGATATATTTCGCTGCACTGCCTTGGATTGTGACAGGGTGGGTATCACCTTTAGGGGGTGAGGGGGGTATGGGGCCGTATTCCACTGAAAAATTATGAAAAAAATTAAGTAGCTAAGACATGCACTCCTTTAATCAGAATGAAAATTTCCATCATTGGAAAGTGTTTGAAGCAGGTAGGAAGGGAACAAGGAGTAAATTATATCTAGTGGGATAATTTTTTTTTTTAGGTAATTAACTAAAGCAGCAGTTTGCTATCTAAAAGTCAACAGTTTAAACCTGAAACCATGATGCGTGAGTAATGATAGTTTCAGGATGAGACTGTAAGAATCTTGTCAATCTCAAATGGAATCTTGATTGTAAATTGCTGTTGGTAATTTGTATATGTAATTTCACAAGCCCTTGGGCAATTAAGGATTAATTTCACAATAATTTTTAAAGTTTTCCCAAAAGTGCTTGCAACTTGGGAATTTTTGGGAAAACTCAGAAAATACAAGTGAAATTAATCCTTAATTGCCCAAGGGCACTTGCAATCACTTGTTTATCATGTAAAGGGTAAAATTTTTGAGTGAATTGCATTTGCTCTCAATGTCTGTGTGATGACACTTTTCAATGCAGCCACAAATGTTAGAACAAATGTAACTGATCAGTAGATTCAATGAACATTTTATTTTTAAAATACAGTTAACAAAGCTACATGGCTTCATTTGATAAATTGCAATCAATAAATTGTTGCTACAGACAGCAAAAAGGCTCATCATGCCCTCTTGATTACTTAAGTGCCTGTGTGATTAAGAAAAAGTACCCTCTGTCTAAGCCAATCAGCATTCAATGATTTTGCCCCACATGTGATAATTCCAAAAAAGAGACCTCAGGTACTATTTGGACTAAAAAGCACTTTGAATGGGAGAATATTCTTGAGTTGAAGCCAGGGTAAACTAGAAAGAAAAATAGAAAGGTTGTTATAAGTATATTGGATATCAATTTATCCTCAGTATCCAAAAGCATGTTATATATAACAGATATTATATTATATTATTATATTATTATTATAAAAAGTTATGTTTTCTTGACTTTAAGATTATTTGTTTACAGATGTTAAGGTATTCTCATTTATATCAAGATAACAGTTGAAACAAAATTTCAGTCTGCTAAGGGATGAAATTGACATGTTGTTCCACTTGAGAGAAAGCCGTAATTTACAATTTTACTTTTAAAATTTTGGATATGGCCCTCAAACTGTACTTAAACATCATCATTATATTCCAGTACTGGTCAATCTTCCAATCTGATGATGAGCCAGACCTACAAGAACATATATTTAAACTTACCTCCTTTCCTTATATTAGGCACAGCAACAGGCTGCCCAACATGCCAGTGGTCAACAACAGGTACACCTTTCTTATTCTGGATATGATTTAGCTTGTGACCTAGAGGATGCAAGAACTTCTTTGTTTAAAAAGGCACTAGCAAGTGTCAGCTAGAAACTAAAATGGGGAGTAGACAGTGGAAACAGTAAATACTCAGAAGGCAAAAGTCCCATTTAGAATCATAATCCTTCAAGTCACCAGAATTCATTGTTTGCAGCCAAAAGAACAACAATACACAACATTTCAGTGAAAATGCTCAATTGTTGGGCTGTATATTATGATTTTGTGAGCTAAGAATACCAATATTCACCAAGTTTCTTAAGGCCCTCAGAGCTTAAAAGTACAAATGCAAGTTGGTTAAACATACAAACCTTGGTTGCTAATTAAAAATACATTGAACTAGAAATTTATTGATCATGATGTATCCCTGGCATTAATAAAAATTCCGATAGGTTACTATCTGCAAATAAACGGGCTAAGCATTAGATCAAACCTGTACACAGCTTAAGGGTTATGTTGGAGTAGGAGTTATTTTTGGGCTGATAAGGAGTGGTCAAGGCAGTGCTCAAATAATGAACTTTCAATGTACATGTAATTTTGGTCTTAAATACCCTGTAGACTTTTTGCCAGCCATACACCCTTTAGAATGGGAACTGAGCCTACATGTATCAACTGAACTTAACTGAGATTGTGCATGAAAATGTATTATTATGAGGTTTGTTTTGAAAATGTGAAAACCAAGTACCCAACAGTTTACAGTGTATCCCCTAACTGTACATATTTGAGTGATGGGATGACTAATTTTTATGTACCAAATGTGATATTCAGTCTCCATCAAGTACACCTGTAACTTCACCTGCAAGCAACCCGACGTCCCAATCAGTTCCTTCATTTCAGTCTGGGTTAGATGGAATAGGAGGATTTGACATGCTTGGAAACTCAGGTATTTTTTATACCCTAGCTGTCTTTTATGCCCAGCTGTATGATTTTCAGACTGTTTCTTTTTACTTCTCTGTTAGGCTTGATGCTTTTAAATATTTGTTGTTGTTGTTTTTTTTTGAAGATGTTTAACTTAAATGTTGGTTTTACATTTGGTTGGTTTTTTTTCCCTTTACTATCTTAAGTAACCAGGCTGTAAGAATGTTGAGACATAAGGATAGAAAACTTAGCATGCCTTCAACCATCCTGTAACTATGTGTTGGTTTTTAGGCAGTTAATAGATAAACAGTTAGGTACATTTTCACACATTCTCAGATTTGCTTTCAACAAAAAAAAATTGCAGCTTTGACTCATACTGCAAATTTAAGATTATGATTAATGTTTTGTGACCATTTTTTTCAAAATTGATTATAATATATTATTTTTCAGGCAACATCCACCAAATGTCACAACAGGTAAGTCTGAGGTAGACACAATACAGTCAACACTCTGTTTCTACAAAGTAAAGGTCACTGTCACATGACCTGTCCAACCCTACTTGTGCAATCTGATATAAAACCATCATGAGGGCTGGCATTTGTAGGGCCAGACAGGTTGATGTGAGCTAGTCCAGAAGACAATGTCTAGCCCTATTGCATTTGAACTGCTTTTTTTGGAAATAAAAAGAAACCTTTTTTCTGTTGTTACAAAAAATTAGCAACAGCATTAAAGATTAACAAGGAAATAACTCCTGTTTTTCAATAAATTGTAATTTTCATGGTCTGACTCGAAACAATAAAGGAAAAATTTTTGTTGTAGAATCTTTTTTGTGGTTTTATGGGTGTGCCAGTTGATTGTCTCCCATTTAAGTGAGAACAAACTTGCCACGTTTTTCAAAACTTATTTCAGATTCTGTGGTTATATGATAAATGCTGAGTTAGATCAGGTTAGACAGGAAAATATTTGCCTCTCTTTGAAGATGCACATAGGCACATACTTCATGACCTTCCACCAAATATTTTCCTGTCTGGCCCTCCCACTTAGTCAATAAGTACAGAGTATTTATTTTATTTATTTATCAGAGTATTTAAGGTGATAAACACAACCATAACCTCAGGAACAAGTATAAACAATGTTTTTCAGTTAGTTAGCAACTCTTCTGGCAATCTTGTTGAAACATCACACTCTCCTCTCAATTTTGAGTTTGAGTTTTTTCATATAGAGACAAACTTTATTTAAAATAATGGTTTTTTGCAGGATACTTTTCCTTTGTTATAGCATAATTTTCATATTGAGTATTTAATAAAATAGTTAATGAGGGCCCCACTGAAAACCGCTGTGGTGAGTTGGGCTCCCTCATTAAATACTATTATTATTATTATTATTATTATTATTATTATTATGGCATTTCTAAGTACTGTTTGTGTATTTACGTCTGTGAACCAAGGTGATTGTTTTCTTTTAATCATGCTATAACCACTTTGATACCTGTTTCAAAAATCTTTTTTTATTACATCAGCTCATGTCCAACCCAGAGATGCTAAGACAAATGATGGACAACCCAATGGTACAGGTAATGCAGCTAAATTGCAAACATTTTGTCTGATATCTTGCAGCAGCAAGGTGGCACAGAAAACATTCAGTACCCCTAGTATTCTCAGCTTCTACATTAGGGAATAACAATTTTTTCAATGACCTACCTTCTCTTAGAGTTCTAAAATTTGTCCTTCTTGTTACCTAATTAATGCTTGCAAAATAATCACAGTTGATGGCATATGGAGCACATATTTGACTATGTTGACATGGACACCTATGAATGCACTTGTTCATTATTTTAATTTTTTTTCCTGGAATTTCCTTTTATTTTAATTTTGCAGTTGTTGGTTTTGTTGAATAGTTTAGTTTTCTATCAAGCCCAACTCAGGGTGGAGTTTTACGTAATCAAAGCTTAAGCAAGAGTCTTGCACACATTTAATGATGTTGTTGTTTGCTGTGTCAGCTAGTGAATAATAGTTGAACCCACCACCTACTTTTACACTCCAGTAACATTACTACAATTGTTAATTTTCCATGGCCTTCTTTAACAGTATTATTGTGGGGATAATGCATCTCTTGCAGTATTAACTAAATTCCATGGAATATTGCATTGTACATAAGAATTTTTTGGTACTTTGCTCCATCTGAATTTGGTTTGTGTTCCAAAAATCTTCAATTGTGTTTTTCAACAAGGACTGCAAAGGAGTATTCATTCAAAGTCTAGTTTTGATATTATTGCTAGCTTCACTCTACGATTGGGTGATATTTCTTGAGTTGAAGTATGTTTACAGCAAAGAAGTATCTTTAAAACATCAAGTTTTAAAAACTTTCCTGCCTCCCCAAAAATCTCGCCAATGGAACACTTCCATGACAAATGTTTTCCATCTTGTGGTCACTTGGCACCCACAAAAATAACTGATTTCAAGTAAAGGAAAACCCTCCATTATTCTGAATTATTACATCAAATTTGGCATTTAGATGAGTCATTTGTGTATTAATGTCATGAAATTTTGCTAGTCACTCCTCTTAAATTGTTTATGTTGACAATTTTCTTCCTCTCTTGTTACAGAGCATGATGTCAAATCCTGATCTTATTAGGCAGATGATTCTAAGTAACCCACAAATGCAACAAATTATTGAGGTAATAGAGAATTAATTCTAAGTGAAAATGGCATTTAAATTTTAAAAGTCATAACTCTAATGCTCTAAGATCAAGTTTCATGGGATTAAAATGACAAGTTGTGCATCCAGTTCTCCATAAGATTTCAACATAAAATGGAAAAAGTGCAAAATATTTTGCAAAACATTTTATTTTTATCGGGAAAAAATAACATGGAAAAGACACTGCTGTTTAAAACATAAAATTCAGTCACTTGTAAATCTGCAACTTACTCATTATCTCAATTTGAAACATTATTAGACCTGCTGGGATTAGTCCTTTCATTGAAGAGTTGGGCATCAATTTTTAAATATTTTGAGTGTTTTGGATTGGACCAACATTTTACAGCAAGAGATAGCAAAGTCAATGTGACATTGACAAAGCTCCTCCTGACTGAATAAATCATCCCTGTGTGTATGAAGGAAGACAGTTTTTAATAGCTGGGAAGTCTCTTGGACTTCCAGCAATTATCTACATCACTATAGAGACTAATTTTTGTCAATTTCAAACTGTGGAGTGTTTTCACATGATGTTATGACAGTCACAGTGGTGTCGCTAAACAATGAAAAGTTGGCCACATTGGTGTTCCAAATTAGTCCTACAGGAGTTTGATTCTTTTTTTATACAAATTCTTTCTTTTGTTTCAATGGAAAACAAGATTTCTCCATTGTAGAAAGGATGAAACACCTAAAATCCTGAATTCAAAAATTAAATTTATTCATCTCTTGTTTCTTCCAAACAGAGGAATCCTGAAATCTCTCACATTTTAAACAACCCAGATTTGATGAGACAGGTAATTCAAAGAAAATTTTACTCAAGCTCTAATTTTTGAGAAAGTTGTAATTTTAATTAAAATAGGTTTAGTGAGAAGAAAAGTTGTTGAAAAAGAAACAGAAGAGGTAGCTATGAAAGGATACACTGCATGACATCAAGGAGAGGGATATCACTAACCTCACAACTGTGAGCTATTGAGTTATAGAGAACTTCATACAAATCACAGCACACACATGCATTAGAAGTTTATTGCAGGTGTTCCATTGTTGGTTTCGGCATTCTGTACTCAAAGGGAAGGAATTTCCAAGTTGAAATCAAGGGTAGTGACAGGTTGTTTGAAATATGCACTATAGCAGCTTCAGTGCCTGCGATTACAGTGAAAGAAAGGATTAATGGATTTTATCTTACTTTTTAATCAATTTTGCTTGCTTTGGTCCAAAGCATGTAATGGAACAATTTAATTCTATGGAATCATTGTTCATGTCCCATTACATGAATGCTTGATTTTGTTAAAAGGCTCTCACCAATGACAAGGTGCTACATAATACAGTTGCCTTGCAAAGAGCAAAGTTTTTTAGCCTTCCCAAGCCGTCTGCAAGACCTCTTTTTGTGAGTCACTTTGGGCCATTTTTCTTCAAGATAAGTACTTACAGGGTTGATGTAAGCTCTATTGAAAGTGAAACAAATCAGGGAATTAAGGCTGAGTTAGTGAAGTGATTAAGTAAAAGTATCAATTTGCATTCTAGCCTTTTTATCAGAATGCAAATTATAATCCCTCATACATGGAGCTCATCCTTAGGTAAAATGATAAACAAAACTTACATTACTTTACCTACAGACAATGGAGATGGTGCGAAACCCTTCTGTGATGCAGGAGATGATGAGGACACATGATAGGGCACTAAGTAACTTAGAGGTGGTGTATGATAGATTTTGGCTGTAATCACTCAAAATAAAACCTGTAGTAATGAATTATAACAATATTGATGATGATAATTATAATAGTAATTAATAATAACAATAATAATAATAGTGATTGTGATAATGATACAATATCAATAGTAATAGCTCTCATACCTCTCACTCAGGATGATTTCAAGTTATATAATAATTATTTATTGGATAGGATGAGACCAAGCTCAAATTCCCTAAACAAACTAAATGAAAGAGAGATTTCAGCCCTATGATTAAGCACTCTAAAAAGCAAAAACTTTTAAATTCATATCCTTAACATCTGGGATTTTCAAAAGATATAAATAAACACATAGACCCATAAACACATATTCTATAGCATCCCCACACATAGCTGAATATAGTTAGTTAATGAAATAGGCAGACACACACATGCATTTAAAATGCTCATTTAAATGTTATATGTAATAAATATGTAACAGCAAACATCATTTTTAGGATAAGAGAAGTGTTTATTTTTTTTGTATTTTTGTGATGCATGCAAATGGCTTAGCACTATTCAATAAGTTGTTGTTTATGTGCTAGTGTGATTCCACAATGAGAGTTACACAGTACCTCAAGGAAGTCATACCTACATGGATTTTAAAAAAGTTTTACTCTCTTTTTATACGGTTATTCTTTTGTGTCACATGGAGGTTCTGAGGTGAGATTTTCCTCATTTTGTTTACTGACAGAGTTTACCAGGAGGTTTTAATGCTCTGCAACGAATGTATACAGACATACAAGAGCCTATGCTAAATGCTACACAAGAACAGGTAAAGTATGGACCTCACTTGGTGATCTTCTCACCACTGCTTGTTGACTGATTACTTATTTACCAATTAGAAAGTGACAGATTAGAACGCAGGAAAAAAGCTTATAACATTCTCATCCAACTGATGTGACTCATTTTGACCTACAATTCATTTTTAAGAATAGAGCATTACACTCACTCACTTTAGAAGATGATGTGTACTATGGGTTAACAAAAAGTAGTTTCTAGAGTTGAGTTCTGATGCAAGTTCCAAACTAACTGAGCCCATGCAATAGGGCCCAATTAGGTATGTGGCTTCATGAACTCGCACTAAGAATACATTATCATATAAACTGCAGTGTTATATAAGGATTTCCCTGAGAAAAAACAACAACACACATGAAAATGTGATAATTTTTCTTGTGTGTTTGATATGGCAAATCAGCTGCCAAGACGTCACTCACCTTTTGAGCCGCTCTGTCATATTAATGAATGAAAGGGGAAGCCTTCACCATTTTCAACCCAAGGTTGTTTGTCAAAATTTCTCAGATTATGGCTGGTTAAACACTGAAAAATTCATTTTGCTTAAAGACAGTGACATTCAAAATTTCTTAGAAAAGGAAGAAAACCAAAATGCTCAAAGAAAAACTGAAGGTTACATCCTCAGTGGCTTCGGTAAAGGCATTTCTTGCGGCTACAATAACTTCATAGCTTTTCTTTGGGATCTCACCCAATGTTCCCCCAGTAGACAACATGCAACTTTTGACCTCTTAATGTCATCCAGGTATGTTTAAAAGAAATTTTAGTTGAGACCATATACTTCAAAGGGCTTTCTTTGTAAGCCTTGGAAGAAACTTATTCTCATGTGACATAATGAAACATTTTGAGAAAGATAGTTAAACTTTATATTTCTTGTTTAAAGATGCTAATTAGCAAATAAAGAAGCCTGACTGTGCTCTGTTCTGTTGTAAAGCAGTTAGAAGGTGGTTAGAGCACTCAAGAAGTGGAAAGAAACGCTCAACTACGTCTTGTGTTTCTCCCTTCAATCATTAGTGCTCTAGCCACTTCCTGCATGCTTTATAACAGAACAGAGCACAGTCAAGACTTCTGTATTTGTTTTATAATAAAAAATCCATTAAATTCCCACACATTACTTTCAATTTTCTAAACAAAAGTGAACACTAGTGTCGTCAGCATGCTCTATACTCATAAAGCACACTACAATAAGCCAATCAGAATTCCTGTTAGAATGGTTCAAATAATCTGATTGGCTGCACAAGACTACAGCTGTCAAAAATGTCAAACCATTAAAGTTCAAAACCATCAAAGTTCACATTCTGCAATAGTTTACAAACTGAAATAGTTCAGCAGTTAGAATTTAACACTTTTGCTTGAAGAGTTTTAGTTTATAAAATATTATTATATTAGTTTTTCTAATACAGAATCTGAAAGTGAAATGTTCAGTGAAATCCGGCCAGATTGTGGCTCATAAAAACACAAGTTTTTTCACATGATAATTAGAAAACAAACTTCTCAAGATGAGTGTTTTATGAATGAACAATGGCCAAAATTGCCAGAACTTGAAGATTGCTCGGGATGACTTTGGCTGCAGTGATTGATTTGACCTTCCACTCAAGGCATTGGAAAGGACATCAGAGCAAGCTCTTAGTTGTTTATTGGAAGGGTGGCTAATTTAATTTCTGAAACTTGGTTCACTATGATGACCAGAGATTGTCATGATGAGCCAGCCATGATGGACCTCAGCATGATCATGTCAAACATAGTACAATTTACTCTACAACTATACTCTCACAGAGCATGATCTATCAACCAATGACAGTGTGCGTTATATCTGAACTTTACTTTAAATGCTGAATAGTCTCCAGAGATGCACTTTTATTCTAACTTAAAATATTGAAGCAAGAAATGCATTTGCCCCCCAAATAACTTAATTATTGATAAACTGTCTATGAGAGTATGACAGAGAAGTTTTGTCTTCTGTTATCCCCTTATGGATATCATTGTAGACAAAGTAAGACTTCTAAACCAAAAAGAAAAAAAACTTCTTTTGACCGTCGGGGCATTTTGTGTTGTTAATAAATCTTTGATCCCCAAAAAGATCAGTTACTCGTACGCATAATGTCACGCATATACAGCACAGTAATCACAACTTGCAAGTACTTTATGCTTCCACCACACTGTGCATAAAGGTTGAAAATGGAAAATCTTCACTATTTGTATGTGAGCACACTTATATACCCAACTTGTTAAAGAAACTTTTGATGAAGTCTGCTATAGTCAGACAAAACACGTAGGAGATTAAAACAGGTTTGTACTACTTCAGTTCATTCAAAGTTAAAAGTTTCATATAAAAAGATAATTGCTGAGGTTTCTGTTGCTTCCACTTAATTTTAGTTGCTGTTCTACCTTAAACTCAGGTAAAGTTATTTTCAAGTGGATCCCAAGGGCATGTTGAAGTGTAAATTACATTTCATTACATTTCAGATGGAACAGTTGCGATGAACTTGTAAGGTTAGATTATAAGTACATGTATGGGTATGAATGTAAACTGATCAACAACTGTTTGTAGTTACAGCGTGCACAGAATAATCCATTTGCAGCATTATTTGGCGGAACATCAGGTAACAACCACCATAAGTAGCATATGGTTTTCAACAAATCATAAGAAAAAAGACCTTTCAAACTTCATGACCCTTCAAACATTACCACCTCAATTATTACAAGAAATAGCTTCTCTCAGTCATGCGATACTCCTATCTATAAACAGACCATAACTTCCATCAATAGGGTGTCATGATCTGTGAAACACTATTTATCTCTAATTAGCAGTTTTTATTCTTGATACTGTAGCCTCTGGTGTTACATCAAATCAATCTTCAAACCCTCAACAAGGAACAGAAAACACCTCTCCTCTTCCAAACCCATGGTCTGCTACACCTCAACCAAGTCAACCACTAGTGCCTCAGACATCTACACCTTCTAGTGCTTCTACGGCTACTACTACTCCTGTGTCCAGGTTGGTCTTGAAAGTATTCATGTTTACTCTGCAATGGCATGTACTTTAATATTCATTCACAAGAAAGCTAAGATAAAGGGATTAATTGATTTTACATCTGTGAAGTGCCTAAGCCTTTGTCACCGATAAACAGCTGGATTGGTTGTGCTCAATGTAGTATTTCAATCAGGTAATTCTTAGTGTTATGATGTGCATCTTATACATTCAAGAAATTGCAAAAAACTTTATTTGGACCAAGTAGACTGATTATCAAAGGGGAATAGGGAAATGATAGTGTAACCTGAAGCTCTATATGTAAAAGATATATGACAATAAAACTGGTAAGTAGAAAACAGAGAACAGTTATAATTACATTTATAAAAGATTCTACTCTCATACTTTTTTTCAGTGTTGGTAACAATTCAAGCCCTAACCCATCTCAACAAGAAAACACCATGACAAGCATGTTCCAGACACCAGCCATGCAGTCCTTGATGCAGCAAATGACCAGTAACCCAGCCTTGTTTCAAAACATGATGCAGAGTCCTTACATGCATGACATGATGGAACGCATGCTACAGAATCCTGAACTCATGGCTTCTGTAAGTTGATATGCAAACTAAACCAACTAAATCAATTATTTACTGATATCATAGTTTCAATGGGGTTTTTGAATCTCTTCAAAAGTGACAAAGAGAATTTATTTGGAAGTGTATTTTTTGGTTTTATGCTTTTTGTTTTCAGTGTTTTGTTGGTTTTTTTTTCTATTCTTAGAATGTCTTGGCCCAGTACAGCACTAGTATATGTTATCCTTACTTTAAGTGTTATGTTTTGGAACCACATTCTAACTTTACACTGTAACTCTTATGACTTATGCAACTTAAAACTGGATTGATTTGCAGTTTAAGAATGGTAAATTAATTTCACTGAATGCTGAAACAAAATAATAAACTGACTTCAAATGAAGCTTTTCTGGATTTTAAAGTTTGTGATGTTGTTAAGGTGGCTTGAATTAACTTATAGTTATTGTTCTAAGGATCAGTACTACTCTAGCTTTTCCTTTGTTTCCCTGAAAGTCTTTTTACAGCACTGTAGAAAGATTGATCATGATATAGTGATTGTATTTCAGCAGTTAGTAAACGGGATGATCAAAGCCATTTTTTAATTACATTTTCTGAAAGCACAAATTAAGAGTATTTCTAGTGGCTGTGGTGTTTCAATGGTAATCAGATATTCCAAAACGTTTTGACACAACTTCATGAGAACCAATTTTGCTTCTTTTCATGCCATTTCCTAGAAACAAATTAGTGGTATTGTTTACCCATTCAAGAGTAAATGTTTGGCAATAGCCCAACCATTTTGAGCCACCTGAAATTATGTTTTAACCTCTGTTTGCTTGAATTACAAAAAAATAAATAGACTAAGAGAAATGTGTGTTTCTTGTTTATTGTTTCTTGTTTCTCCAACAGATAAATAGAAATCTGCTAGATCCATTTTTGAGAACCATTTTGAGTCCAAGTGTTAAGTTCTTCTTTATACCATAGACACTAGAATTAGTGTCCAGGAGTTGTGGGTTTGTGAACAGAAAACTAAATCGCTTGTGCAGGAAAAAAAAATCTATTTTATGATGAGGAATCAAACCTCCAACCTTCAAATTCTATGACCCTACACTGAGCCACTGGTCCACAGGGACTTTACAGTGACTTAGGCCATTACTAGGTTCATATGTTTCATATATTGTTCCTCTTCTTACAGTTTTTTCCTCCTGTCTTGTAGATGATTAGATCAAATCCAATGTTTCAAGGAAATAGCCAGCTAGCAGATCAGGTAGAGTGGTGTAACCTAATTTTTTAAGATTTCCTCTACACAAGCTGATACAAGTTTGGCTCGCTTTGTTGACATCATATAACCACAAAAGAAAACAAACTTTTGGACTTAAAATGTGTTGTGGTTAACTTGCTATCCTGTGAGGGTATCATCATGTTATCACCACCCACCAGGCAGTTTGTTCTGTCATTAGTGAGCATTAAATTTCATTCCTTCAATTTATATTTTTTTAGAAACAGTCCATGATTACAGAGGAAATAAATCTCCTTAGGTTCATGATTTTTTTTGTATGTGACAAAGTCATTAATGCATGGATATAACCTTCACACAATTGTGACCCTCCATGTAATTTCGGGGACAAAGGTGATAACACGCTCACAACACGCCAATACAACACGCTTAGCGTGTCCAATGTGCGTATGTATTATACACTATGTTCTGCTTCAGTCAAGTTAGCACGCTTGGTCTTTGTTTTGGTCAAGCGTGATCGATGTCACGCTTAGCGAGATTATATCTTTCAATTGCAAAATAAAAAAATTGAAGAAAGATCATTACTGTCAGAAACTCGTGTAAAGTGCTTGTGAAAAAAGCTTAAGCTGAGGAGGCTAATTTTAGCCTCAGTTTTGCATGATGGTCTGAGTCAAACATTGGTGGCAAGGTGACTTCTCTTGGTGGCTACTTAACCTTAAATTTTGACTACATTGTGACTTAAGATGAAAACTGCATGAATGACAAACTTTATATTTTTATAGGTTGCATCAAGACTTCCAGAATTTATGCAGCAGGTAAGATAGTTAAGTTCATCAGTTACATTGGAAATATTTTCCGATCAGATCATTTGTCCCTGAGATTTTGTCTCTTAGATAAACCCCAATGAAACCCCCAGATAGAAAGGACTCAATAATATCTTCGGGAGAATATTCTTGCCTAGAGATCTTTAATCATATTTTATTTCTTTTGCAAAATGTCCATGCTTCGAGAACATTGCCTCCTAGTGAAAGATGGTTTTTTGTCTCACAGAAACTTCAACATCCGTGGCTTAGTTGTGTAAGAAAACGCTGACACTGTCATTGATGTTGATGTATTTCCAAAAACCTCATAGGCAATAAAAATAATTCCCATGATTCGAATATGTGAAGGGAAAAAGTTGGGAGGCTATAGGATAAATCATCATGATTTCTATTTCAGTTTTCTAAACCGCTTCAAAATTCTTTATGCCTTAGGCATAGGCAGTGTGTACCCTTTATTACTACCAATTCACTTATCAGAAATACCTGACTTTCATTGGCATTTAAACAGATGCAAAATCCGGATTTCCAGCAAGCCATGACTAACCCTAGAGTGATGCAAGCCTTGATGCAAATACAACAGGGGATGATGCAGCTACAAGCAGAGGCACCAGGCCTAGTACCAGGAGTGGGGTGAGCTAAGCAGGCTGCTGAGCCCCTTTGAGGCATACTTTAAAAATTTGCTTAGTTAGAATATCAAAACGAAATTTAGAGTGTCAGAGGAATCGTTGCTAATTCAGCAAAAACAAAATGGAGGGTTCTTCTGAACCCAGAGACGTAAACGGAATGTATTTTGGCCGCCGTTTTAAGTCCCACTAAACTGCCAATCTTTATTTCTCTATAAAAATGCTTTTGATCAACACCACTTAATAGGATAATTTGCAGTTAGCTTTTTAAAAAACATCCAGAGTTGCAAAATTAATTGCCTTTGCGAAAAGGAAATTGTAAATTTCGAGAGTCGATTTTTGTGAATGGAGGAAACAGGAGAACCTGGAAATCTGAAACTCAACAATATATGACACCAGGTGCTGGAAACAGAGTGTTACAGCATTTCCCTTGGTTGTTTCTCCTTTCATTTGATATCCACGCTTAACTTATCAATGACTTTAATGACATTAATGGGTAATCCTGGAGTGAGCAATCAAACGTTTCCATATATATTGTAATCTCGCTCTATGCCTAAGTTAGTCAATTGAGTAACTCCTTTTCTGTGAGTTCCATTTCTGAACCAAGTAAACTTAATCAAACAAACCAAACAAAACAAAACTCGATCCATCGGATTTTGTTCGCCTGATTTCAGTCTTTTGAACAAAATGAATTCATTCTTTTCCTGGTTGTACCAGTTCCAAACCATTTGCTTTTAAGTGAAGCAGTCGATTTAAACTGAACTCAGGGAACAGTTTACTCTGAATTCTGCCATGAATGAACACATTTACACACACATTGTAATAGCACGCCATGACAGTAGGATTTTTGTGATAATGTCTCGAGAGCTTGTTCCAGTCGAGGCCTGGTATATTTCATGATGTAATAGAAATTATACTCTTCCAAGGCAGGAAGACTTACACAATTTAATTAGAGGACAAGAAGTAAAGTCTCGTCAAGATAAAGGTTTATCTTGAAATTTAGATTTTATCAGAGCGAATTTGTTAGACAATCACGGCGTTTTAAGGGTTCTCGAAGTCATCAAACAACAAGAGTAGGACGCCAGACAACTTGAAAGTACTAAGCAGAATTTCAGTCAACGTTCTAAATTGAAGTTCTACTTGAAACAATCATCGTGAATTCAGCTGAAGAAGGAGGTAGCACAACTTGCAGGATATCTATCTAGAACTCCAGGAGTCCATTGTTTCCTGCAATGAAGGCCTGTCACAGCCTCCAATGCAAACAGAGCTTACTGTACTTCAAATACCTGAAAATCGAGGGAATTTGTTCCTCTGATGCTGAACGGAAACATGGAGGTTATAGTGACGTTTAAACTCATTTGGAGAAGACCTGGCTTTTGGAGTGGCTTGTGGACGACCCAGTAGCCCAAAGCACATACTGTAGCCCGCAAATCATTGACCAATAACGTAGAGTCTATTCAGATCTAAAATCCATGTGGACACGGGGCGTCACAGAACTGAGAACTGAGTACAGCTGTTTGTATTCAGAAGTTGTCAACAATGCCTGAAATCACAATTAACCTCTTAAACGTCATTAAAGTTTGCAAATATTGGTCGCTTTGAGGAGATTCTCAGTCGAAGGAGTATCTCATCTGTTGAATGGAATCGCTCTACAGGCTCAACAGTTCAGTCCTGATTATACTCCACCTGAGGGGATGCCCACCATTGCAAAGTCAAAGCATCAAAATGTTCACGTTATAATAGGACAAGGAATTCCCATTTTCACCTCAGGATACCCCTGATGACTGCCATTCAGAACACATGTGGAAGTAACCTCCACACAGATCAAGACAAATGCTTTGAAGATGACCCTTCTGTGAATCTTGGTGCGCCTACATGGCATAGAGAATGCCAACATGAGTAGGAGGACTGGATTCAATGTTGTGGTACAAAATAAAGTGCAAGTCTCTAACGATAATGTCAGATATCTCCCAATAATAGTTATACTAGCTACTGACATGTCTACAATGTTTGAAGTACATCGTCAGTCGTTAAAGATTGGAACGATCTCAAGCTTTACACCATCGACGTCGTTTTTGATCGTGTCAAGCACTTTACGTTAGTGTTACAGAAATCAAATGGATCAATGATCACAGTGCTCTTAAAAAAGTAGAATTGCTAGAGGTGAAACAGATGTACAGTTCTTTACAGTCAACACTACAGCTTGGTGGAGACATTTCAGAGCCAAGGGATGTTGCTTGTGATCTGTTACAAACCAAAGATCCTGGAGAAAGAGCCTACCGATGTTTCAGCTAGGAAAGGCCAGAAGTAATCCCTCCGGAAGTCAAACTTTAATATTATATTGAAGAAGATTGTAACTGAAGCCGACCATGCCTTAGTTGTACAGAAGCAAGACAACTAAGCATGAAGGAGGTACCATACCATTATATGCAAATAACATCTTTCGCTAACGAGTTGCTGAAATGTACTTCATCGATTGAAAATATGCTAACCCAGTCGCCTTGCGTTATCGATGGTATGGCAAATGTTCAGAAGTTAAACAGTGATCAAAAGATTTTGGCCAGTAATGTAGATGAGAAAATCTTGCAGGAGAGAAAGCAGGGCAGCAGTTGAACAGGTTTCTGCGAAACCCCGAGACCATGAAACAGCTGATGCATTACATCATTAGCGAATGGAGGAAAATCGTTTTAGTGTCACGTTGGGTAGGAAAAAAGTACACTGCACAGTAGGAGAAGAATGTTATGAAATGGCGTCAGATTTGGGTCAGCATTTTGTGAAGAGCTACGATCTTCACAATAGGAAGTGGACACGAGAATGGAGCCAGGAAGAAATTTCATTCCCACAGTCTCGATAGTGTCTGCCATTTTATCCAGTTTGACCATTTTAACCAGTTAAACCATTTTAGCCAATTCGCCCATTTCAACCAGTTGGACCATTTCGTCTACTTCTACCATTTCAACCGGTTGGCCATTTTATCCAGTTAAAGCAATTCAACCAGTTGGACCATTTCAACCAGTTCATTACAAGGAAGGATGTTGCACATTTTGTGGTGATCTATCTTTCTATTGCTAACACTGTGGAAAATGGTTCTGACAGGTGAATTAAACGTGAACGAACGGAAGATCGGCCAATTCTTTTTTAAAAAATAAAGAGTCTTAATGATGTGGAAGATTCATTTAAGACATAAATGAATGTTCCTTTTTGAGGGCATAACGTCAAAAGCTCAAAGAAGTTCCTGGTGAGATAATAGGGACTTTAAGATCCAACAACGCGGACTTCGTCAAATATACCGAAGCCGCGTGGGGCCTGTGTCGAGGACGCCGTGTTCGTGGCGGGAAAATTTAAGTTAAGATGGCGGGATTCAACGACGCGGCTACCCGCGGATAGAATAAAAAGAGTAGTGAAATTACTTTATTTCTGAACAACAGAAACCGATTATAGTATTGTTTTCAGTGCAAATGGCGACTTTTAAAGAAACTCGCGAAATTTTGCTGGCCAGCTATGCCTCTAATATCATTACGATTGAAGAATATGCTTTGCTTTTCGAAGAAAACAGTTCAAACAACTTGGATTTTCCGTACTTTAACTACCCGCCGTTTAACTTAGAGAGCCAAAGTGAAGCCGAGTGTAGGGAAAACTTCAGGGTGGAAAAGCACCACATTCCTCTGGTAGAAGATGCTCTTCAAATTCCGCAATACTTCGTATGCGACCAGGGAACTGTTTGCGAAGGAACAGAAGGGCTTTGCATGCTTCTGAAGCGATATTCCTTTCCTTGTCGATACTCAGACATGATACCTATTTTCGGAAGGCCAGTACCAGAACTTTGCATGATATGCAACACCGTAACCGGTTTGGTGTTTAAGGCCATGAGAACTGTCTTGTCTTGTCTTGTCTGTTCAGAAATATGAGTGAGCCTGACAAGAAAATACAAAAAGAAATGACGAATGCAGCCGGGATGATAAAACTTTCGATATACAAAGAAAAAGTGCCAATTTACTGTGTTTTTGTAACTGAAATAAGTCGAAATACTTACAGTTTGTTGACAACGTGAAAATGCTGTCCAGCGCGTTCTTCTTGAGCAAGGACGCGACTTGTTTACGTCACGATCATGCGCTGTGGTGATCATTTTGGTATTTTTACTTCCGGTCAGCTTCAGTCACGTCCGCGTTGTTGGATCCTAAAGTCCCTAATTTAGTCTCTGTTTCTTTCATTTTTAGCCTTACTGGTGGCTCCTCTCCCGCAATGAGCACAAGTTCAACCACTTCTCCAGGCAACAACATGACCACACCTACATCGCAGACATCAGGTTTGTTTGACTAAGGTTTTGAATCATTAAACAATGCAAATTTTAAATTTTTGTTAGACTATTTTAAAAAGCAAGAGGTATATTCTAAACATCTTATTGTTTTGTCTAAGCTATAAGACGGTATATACAATTATGGCACTGAACGCGCTTTTAGGTTGGAAAGACCTTTCCAACCTTGATGAATTCTGTAGGTGAAAATCATTTTGCTCACCGCCATTTAGAACCTTGTCCAGCAACCTAATGAGAGTGTTACTTCTCCTTTTTTTCCCTCCAACAAAAACTGTGTTGTCTTGAGCAATGTGCTTCTGCCATAACTAAATCAACTCCTTCTGGTTGTGTTTCTCACCATCTGGGTGGAACTTTGCCTCATCAATTTTTTTTCCAATTTAACAAGTTGATATAGAGCGAAGTTCACACATTTAAAGACGGATGACACGATTGGCTCACAATTCAACACTTACCTACCTTAGCGTGCTACACTTACAGTACAATTTTTATCTGGGTTACTACTTAGTTATTACTAAGGATTAATGATGGTTTCTGGAGAGTACCTCACGCCCAGTCTGGTTACACATTTAAGTCACTTTAGTAGCCCCTCTCAATTAACGCATTACTCCATGAACTACCTTCCTCTACAGCATGTAGAATGTTTTTTTCGGTGGAACTCTATGAATACCTTTCACTGAGAACCACTCAATTAAAGGATTGGTTTTGGTACATTATAGTGAGATTGTAGTGGTGTATATTTTTTGCACTTTATTTATTTACGTATTTATTTAATTTGTTTCATTTACTTATTTATTTTAAATTACTTTTGCTTGTAAACTGGTCTTGTTTGATACACATATCCAGGAACACAAGGTGAGACACAAAGGCCAAATGCTGGAGGTACTCCGGGAACCACTCAAGGGGTTCCTCAGGGAAACCCTATGGCGCAGTTCATGTCCCAAATGATGCGGCAAGCAATGACTCAGGTATTATTCTTGAAATGACCTTTGGCACGCATTTTGGCTGATTCTCTGATTTGTAGCGAAAGAGACAACAAAACATTATTTTTTAATTTTCGGTCGCTGCGTCTAGTTAAAATGAACACGTCTCAGTCAATTTATAAGCCGTCCTCCCTTGCCAACAAATTTAAGGCCGGTAGAACAATAGAAATTTATTGGGGAGAGGAAAATTGGAAATCAACGAAAAATGCCACAACTTGTGCACTGTATTGTAATGAAAGAAGTCATGGTTTGATTGTCATGAAACATCACCCCTTATGTTTTCAGACTCAAAATCCTGAGGTCGCCTACCGCGCGCAACTGGAACAGTTGGCTCAGATGGGATTTGTAGACCGGGCTCGGAATATCCAAGGTTAGACCTTTGATGCGTGGACTTTTGTTCAGTAGGCAATAACTTGCTACCTGAGCTTTGCCTTGCGATACGTTGCTGAATTTTACTTAAGTTTACTTTGCTGTTTGCTCTATTGTCAGAGAAGGAGGTTAGAAGTGACTGGGGAACTGCGAATACTTAAACCAAAAACATTACCTTACACACATTTCTGGAGATTTGTGGATTCCTCTTTACAAAAAGTAACTAGTGTGCGTTTCCATTTCAGCTTTAGTTGCAACTGGCGGCGACTTAAATGCTGCAATTGAAAGACTGCTACAATGAAGACGGATTCAAATATATTACTAACCTATGGAGGAAAAAAACTGTCAGAATTAGAGATGAAAAAGAGGCATACTTTTTCCTTTCTGTGCCTTATAAACAGTGTAAAACAAATAAACCGCGCCGGTACTGTGCCAGCCAGCAAAAAGTATGGGAACTAATCAGCAGTAATAGAATGGAAAATCGTTTTGTGGAATGGCTGTCTTATAATACATGTTACTTAGGCATCACACAATACAAATGTGCTAGACTAGCTTAACCTTATTACAAGCTCTAGAAGATCATTATTGAATGTCATATTCAGAATCATGTGCCCATTTTCCATGAGGATAGTGTTTTTGATTTAACTTATCCCACATCTAGAAACTACAGGGAATTTTTATGTCACCTTTTCTACTTTGAAAATGTAAATGAAGAAAAGCTATTAGATGTTGTGATTCCCCAATAAAATAAGGAATAGTCTTTATTGGTGAAACTTCAAGTAACCATGAAGATCTCACAGGAGCTTTCTGCCAGTCATCGCCAATTCCTTCCTTTGGGGCTTGATAAAAAATGCGAAGCACGCACAGCACTAATCCAGGTTTGATTGTTACAACGACTTGTTGTTTTTGTATACAACTTAATCGGGACAAGTTATTGGGTTTCGAACTAAACCAGCTTAGTAAGTTTGAGTTGCTTGAACAACATCCGGTTGAAAATTTCTGTAGGGAACAGCTAATGTGTGGATTATTTGTGCGCCTTGGATTTCACCAAACTGAAGACTGATAGATAAACTTGGTCAGAAATGGTAATAGAACATGGAATATTATGCCAGACAAATTCTTGTGAATGGCGAAGGACCCTCAGAGAATGAAAAGAGGTAAATAGGTTAGGAGATATTTAACACCATGCTCATGCTTTGAATTAGGCTCCACTCCTTTCTAGTGGAAGTAGTGAGGTGAAAGTAACGTCAAATATGAGTGTGGAATATGCGCCGTTTTCACTAAATGTCACTCCGCACATCGTATCATCTTAAGGCCACCAGTTGTACATTTTAAGCGGCCCTTATGGGAAATGTTTGGAGATTTCCATGATTCCTAGGGCACAATTCATCTGGCTTTTCTTAAATTGTTGATGAAAATTCGCAATTCGCTTTCTCGAACAGGTTATCCTGGAAAACGTGTTAAGTTACGGTAAAAAAAGGAAAACAAAGTCATAATACTCAAGGACTTAGTAGAGATCTTGATAAAAGTCAATGACTCGAAAAAGGGTTATGATTCGTTAAAGTGATGCTGACAGTGCCGTTTACGGTGCATTTGCTATAGACTTGTAGTTTGCTCCTTGGCGACCACAGCACTGTGAATCTGTGAATGATAATTAAAATACCGATAGAAAAGACTCGGGTGTGCTGGTGTCAATTTTCTAGCTAGTTTCTGGAAATGGATGTCTGTAAGTTCAGTAACTTTATCCAGAAGGCAGCTAATGAGAGCACTCAAACTTAACGGTTAGAATTTTGTTATCTTGATTGAACACTAAGTTCTCGCAACTAATACATAGGTAGATGTATAGCAGCTAAAGGGGAGAATTAAAAATCAGATATTGGGAGTGAAAGGGTGAGTCAATATTAGTAATGAAATTGTAAAACATTAATCAGAACCTATCTCGCAAAATAACGAAAGAGAATCCACACGGTCTGATATCAAATTCAACTCTATTCTTTTCTTGGATAAGAGACCCAGGTCTTTTTCTATGTTCATTTCTGATTTCTTCTTTGAGGCTCTCAGCATCCGGCTATATTTGGAGCTTTCTTAGTGAAGTCATGCTTTAATCTGTCTTTCAGTGGGTAATATTGCGCAACCTCTTACAATATCAAGTTAGCTTCAGCATCTGAAATCCCGTTACCTTCTAAAGCGTTTGAAATTAGCTCTCTGACAGCGAGATGTTTTGCTTCAGCGGGTGACACTCTCTTCTCATCTTTAGCGATCTTCCTATCATTTACTGTTAAACCAGGGGAAATAAAATTATGTAGCGACTTGTTTTTAATCATTTTCCTTATTCTTAGGCTCTTATTGACCATCACAAGTCTATTTCAGTCTGAAATTATCAACATCGTCATGGAGTTTAGATAAAGCGGCGGAGCACTTACAACATTTGCCAAAAACACTTTAAAAAATTCAAGTTTTCCAATTCTAGTTCTAAATGCATTCCTTTGAAATTGATTATTCCTCTCTTTTAATCAGTTAAGAAAACAGTCATAGTAGAGACAATTACTTGTAGTTGTTTTCGTAAGAAAGCAGCTGATGTAGGACAATTTATCTCTCCCTTGATCAACACATCCTAAACGAATAGATGAATCTCCGACGAAAAGATCGAAATCTTTATCTATTAGATCAAATTTGATCATGTAACTACTGAATAAACTCAATCGTTTGATGGTATTCCAAACGTAAGTCAACTCTGGGAAGAAGACAGATCTCAATCTCGTAAAATCTTCGTCTTAAACGGATTGATAGTTACAGCTACGCTGCTCTGCTCGAGCCCGAGTCAAGTTCGAGTCACAAGTCAAGTATGAGTCAACTCAAGTTTTTTCCTTGTTTTGCTTTCAGTTTTTTTTTTGACTTCGTTTGATTTCTGTGTCAAAATGACGCACCAGGGATACAAGAAAATCCATTTTAAGCTTAAAGCTTTTGATCTTTTCATGGCCGCCAGCAAGGGTTAATCCTGCATTAGTCCGCAGCTGAGACCAAAGAAGTAAACATTATTCGGAATCTACGAGTTGTCCTTACAGATTCTAACCTCCGTTTATTGTACACAGATTCTGACCTCTTTTAATTACACGCACCTGAGGCAGAAGTTCCATTTCAACGATCTCGACTGTCTAAATGGACTCCGAGTGTTAAAAAGAATCAGCATTTCTCGCACTCGACCGCCATTTTGTTGCTTCCAAATAAGACAAAATTTAAAAATTTTTACGAGTCCAATTTTTTTGGTAGTTAGAACATCAGTTGTAGTGCGTGTTAACAGACAATAACAGCCTTTGAAACGTTATGTTAACTTCATGACAATTCTGTAAGATGGTAACAGCGCTAAAGTAACAATTTACAGTGGGGGAATTTGGACGAACTCCGAACAAGCTTTTTCAAGGGTAAAAGGGTAAAAAACCTTGTAAAAAGCACGGTATGATTTTTTTCTTTGTTTCAGTCGGTTACAGTAAAAGTGTATGAATATTACTCTGAAAAAAAAAAAATTGAGTTGACTCGAATTTTACTCGGGTTTATAGCGAAGACGAAGACCCCCCCGAAAGCTAAGATCTAAGATCTAAGACACAAGACTCGAAAACGAGGACTCGAAAGCGAAGACCCCTTTATTTTCTTTATTTAACACGATCTCTTTAAGGGTTTTTGTTTTCATCTTACCTACCAGGATTCGCACAATCTAACACAGGCTATAATCGATGACATAATCCATCGAGCTTTACTCTGAGGTCCGCCATCCTAGGTGTGATATCTTTTCCACCAGGCTTCGCTTGCCATCAATTCAGCAAGGAACAGTCCTATTACAGTACCACACAAAGATGAACGCCGTTTAAGAACTAACGAGGAAACCAAAATCCAACAGTCCTCACACGATTTCCACTGGCACTTTGTTGATTGGGAATACAAGTAAAACCGGTGTTCGAGAGCATGCTTAATCGCTATCAGAAAAATTTAAACCAGAGCTGGATATTTCTGACGAGAAACCAGATCATGTTAAAGTAGTGTAATGACATGAAGGAATTGTTTTAATGTTGATGTGTTGATTAAATTTGCCCTTTCCTTGGAACAGGATGCCAAGCACTGGTTGTTCGGTGCATTGTTCGATAGACCGGGGGTAGAGTTTACCGGAAACCTTTCTTACGTATTATCACTTCCTTACACTTTTTGAGATTGCAGTTCATCTGGTTGTTATCCGACTAGGCGAGGAACTGTCCAACTAAGTCGGTGCGACAATCTTTGTTCTTCCACATGGGAACTGGGATAATCAAGCCCTCTGCGTATTTCAAGTGGTCATCGACGAAAATGTTAAAGTGAAAAGGGCCACTAACGCCTCCCTGGCGGGTCCCTTTGTTAACTGATTTCTATTCCTCCGTGAGATTACTGTCAATGACCCTTTGTTGCCTATTTTCTAGAAAACTTATGTACTAGTTAATTATATGGGGTTCTAATGATAGCTGTTTCAGTTTGGTTGACAGATGGTCGTGCCTTACACTTTCAAATGCCTTACTAAAGTCCATCGCAAACAGTCGAACAGCAACACCTGTAGTCCGACATGTCTTTAGGGATGTCGACTTTAGGTATAGGGTTGACGTTAGCTCTTTTCCATGATGCCGGCCAAATACTCGATTCTAGAGACACGTTCTAGATTTTGTGGATGATTGGAGTAAAAGTATCTGCGTTATCTCCCCATACCCAGGATGGTATACAGTCTGGACCAGTGGTTGTTCTCTTGAGATGTCTCAAACATTCCCACACTTGTCTTTCCGAGATTTGCGGAGCTTCCTCACCATTAATGATTGTTACGGGGGAATGCTTATTGTATGATGAATCATAACATAGTTCAGCGAAGTAGTTGTTTAACGCTATAAGGGACTTTTTATCGAGCGTGACTTTCCCTGCGGAGCATCGACACCGTTCTGAAAGGCATACACCTGTTCATGTGCGTGTGAATCATAGTTTCTAGTTTATTCACTGTATCTTCTACATTGGTCTTGTGTAAGAATTCATCCCAACATTTGCTATCCAGCGTTCGATAAGAATTTTCTTTCCTTTTTTTTCTGCAATCACGGATGCTCACAGTTTGACGAACTGGCTTAAGTTTTGTCCCTGCAGGCATGACAACGGCTGTGTGTTCTGTTTTGGTGGAGATGTTGTATGGGATGCATTTTCCAAACAAGCCCTCTGTCTCCAGAAGGACGATTTTATTTGGTTAAATCAGTTTGACTAATTTTCCATTGTAACCGATTGGATCAAATAGTTATACTAGTGATCTTATAAAGCATGATGCTCTGTTTTGATAAGTTGTTTTCTTTTTTTTTTTTTAACGGCTCTGATTGGTGCATTTCGATCCTTGCTGTTTACTCAGGGATTTGCTCCCTCGGCGGTCCGCTGTAGCACGGCTCTCCTGTTGTTGTGTTTTTTGATCGTGGGCATCCACGCTTCTGGAATTTCTATTCCACTGTCCCTGTTGATGTTGTAAGGGTGAATTGTCCCTGTTGAAGTTGTTAGGGTGAATTGCCTCTTTGACCATGTGCATGTAGTAACAAGGGTCACGATGAATGAATTTTACTTCGTTTAAGAGTGGCTTGTGTCCGGTGTTGTGGGCAAGCTCTGAAAGGGCGGAGGTCTCGGTACGGGCGCGTCGAATGTCTCGATCGTGCTCCTTAATTCTGTCTTGCATAGGTCTTCCAGTCTCTCCGATGTACACCTCGCCGCATTCACAGGGAATCCTGTAAACTACGCCATCTTGTTTAGCCGGGTCGACAGCGTCTTTTGGTCGTACGAAAAGCAGTTAGACTGTTTTAATTAATAACAGTTCTTGTCAGAGCACTTGTAGCAATCGGACGTTTTTCTCTAATGGATGATTCCAAGTAGTTCGATCATTCTGAAGTGTTCAAACATTTTATTTAGCTAGACCAATTGCAGAATGGGGACCGTTTTATGTAATGAGACCATTTTCATAGTTGAAACTTTTAGTTTGACCAGTTTTTTAAACTGCTCCAACAATTTTTTACTAATGAGATCATTTTGATTGATTGAACCATTTTAACCAGTTGGACCATTTTCTCTAGTGGACCAGTTTTTGTAGTTAGACCAATCTAACCAGGTGGACCATTTTAACCAGTAAGACTGTTTTCTCTAGTTAGACCAATAGCATCAGTTGGACGATTTCTTTAGTAAGACCATTTTAAGAGGTTGGAACATTTTTAGAGGTTGGACTGTTTTTAGCAGTTGGACTATTTTATCTAGTTTGACGATTTTATGCAGTTAGACCAATCTAAACGGTTCGACCATTTTAAACAGTTTTGACTATTTTAACTGGCTGGATCATTTCTACCAGTAGGAAAATTTTTCTCTATTTTGACCATTTTAAACGGTTAGGTAATTTAACCAGTTGAACCAGGTTCTTTAGGACCACCCTTTTCACTAATACAATCTTTTTATTAAGTAAAACTATTTTAGGCAGCTGGACTATTTTATCTAGTAACGTCATTCTAACCATTGGACTGATTTGACAATTAGGAACATTTTTCTTCAGTAAGATCAATTATACCATTTCCATCATCCTATGTAGTTAGTCAATTTATGCTGGGCCGACCAATTTCTTGAGTAAGACCATTTCAAACGGTTGGACCATTTAATTTTGCAAGGTCATTTATGTGGCTGGACCATTTTATCCAGTGAGACTACTTTAAGCAATTGGACAATTTTATCTAGTCAAACCAAGTGGTTGAATCATGGCATCTAGGTAGATCATTTTAACACTTTAACACATAGGACCATTTTACAAGTTTCACCATTCTTTTTACTGGACCATTTAATGTAGTCAGACCATTTTAATCGGTTGGATCATTTTCTCTATTGAGATCATTTCAAGCTTTTGACCACTAGATGCTGTACTCGGCTTGACTCATCTTTTGAATATATTTACAGCAGAGCTGAGTTCGTCTTTCTTTCAAGCTGCTAAGGTTGGTAGTATTAAGGGTATCTAAGTAACTATGGCATGGATAGATAATATGTAGTGCCCTTTTTTTAATTGACTCCAGCTTATTTGAAAGAAATTCGGGAATATCTTGCCAGACTTGTACGCCATATTCTAGTATAGGTGTTATTGTTGTCAAATAAACTTTGACAATTCCCCCTCTATTAACAACCACTTTTTTAAGAATCCCCAGGGAATATAGACGTTTCGAAGCTTTTTTCGATAAGTAATGAATATGCTCGTTCCGCTTTAAATCATTACTGATTATAATACCAAGTAATTTATAAGTTGTTACACGTTCAACGGTGTTGTTATCTAGGACAATTGGTCTTAGAGCAAAATTATTATTTTGCATGAAGTTAATTAACATTTCTTTGCATTTTTTCGGGTTTAATTTCATATTATGTTCGATAGAAAACTTGTGAATATCATTGACAGCTACATTTAGTAAGCTATTACCGTTTCTTGGCAGGATTTCTAATGCCGTGGTATCATCAACGAATTCAATCCTCAAATGCCATTCACGCAAAAGATTGTTGGTCATTACAGCAAACAAAATCATACCCAGTTTCGTCCTTGTGGGATACCTCTCCTGGGTGACTTCCAATCAGACAGAGAGTTACCAATCCTTACAGCTCGCGATCTCCCAGTCAGGAAGGCACTAATCCACTTAATTAAGACAGTGTCTATATCGAGAGACGCCAACTCCCTGAGAAGAATTGAATGGTCAATCAGGTCAAAACCCTTTGAGTAGTCGGTAAAGAACGTTCTAGCCCCACAATTCCCACAATCAGTTTCTTCGTGAATCGCCTGTAAGATATAAATCAAGGCGTCCATGGTGGAGTGCCCCTCCCTTGCGTACTGGCGTGGATCACGTGCACGTTTTTCCAAAATTTGCGCCACGAACCAGCTGCGAGCAAACCCTTCCACGACTTTGGCAAGGGTACGTGTCAGAGAGCTCAGTCAGATTGAATTTCTTGACGTGAAGAAACCTTGGGCAAGGGGTTGATTATGGATCGCTTCAGCAGATCAGGAACACAGCCCTCCCTGAGTGAGCAGTTATAAATATCCATAATTAGCGGGGCGAGTTCAGGTGCAAAATCCTTTAAGACCTGTTCGGTATCATATCAGGGCCAATTGCTTTCCCGACATTTAAGCTTGATAAAGAGTTATGCACCTCCCTGACACTCACTAGGAGGTCTGGGGGAACCTGTTGATTGGTTACTCCAGGGGGGGTCAAGGAAACAAAGTCCGATGTCAAACTAATAAAGTGATCATTTACCACATTAGCTAGAGACTTAATATCTGGACAGTTTTCGCCTAAGAACTGATGGTACCATTCCTGTTCTATATCCTGGCCAGTTGATAACTTAATTTGTCTCCACCATTTTTTCGAATCCGTCTGTTCAAGGTCACTTACTTTGTGATGGTAATAATCGTATTTTGTCGACCTTATTACCCACTGGACTTTGTTCCTCAAAAGCCTATAGGAGGCAGAGTCTTTCGCGTCACGGATGAATGCAGTCTGCCGCTTCTTAATTAGCATCTTTATTCTCTTCGTTGTCCAAGGCCTGTCGGTCGGATGAATTCTAACCGTTTTCCAGGGAAGACAGGTGTCGACTGAATTTTTTAGGTCGGTAATAAAGAAGTGAAACTTATCTATACATGATTCTGCCGAAGACAACTGTAACCAGTTCTTGTTAGTGAGCCAGCACCCAACGTACGCCACGCACTTTCCCGTAAATCGCGTACCCTCACCTTTTGAATTACCTGTGTTTGTGTGCTACTTGTTATTAGTTCTGCTAAAATCGAAACGTGATCACTCCTCGCTATCTTAGGTAGTTGAAACAACTGAAAAATGGCAGGTCTATTCGTAAGAAACCAGTCCAGGGTTCCTGTATCTCTGGTGTTAAATTTTACGATCTGTTTAAGATTGTTTGATTGCGTCAAGTCCTTTAATTTGAGGCCCGTCGAAGTTGGGTTAAAATCTCCGGCAATCACCACCAATGCATTAGGTTGTTTTATAAGCAAGCCGTCTAAATTTGATCGGATGTGATTGGAGAGAACAACGTTCTCGAGTTGTCCGTTAGCGGTTGAATGGTAAACGACACAAAGGATTATTGACGAGATCGATCTAAGTAGGCTATGAGGCCTCAAAGAAAGCCACAAAGATTCCACATCTGGCTGCTCACATTGAAATAATCGAGTGCATGGTAAGGTTTGTCTCAAATAAATACAGACCCCTCCACCAGGCGCAGACGTACGATCGTTCCTAAAAAGGTTATACCCCGGTATGGCCACCGCAGAGCCTGAAATTTGCGGCGACAGCCATGACTCTGAGACACAAACAGCATCGGCATTGCTACATTCCGCGACATATTGCAGCTCATCGACCTTATTGCTGAAGGATCGTTTATTCGTGCCTAAGCCATTTTGAACAGCATCTTTTGGACCTTGGCTTACTAGAGTAGATCTGGTAATGAAAGCTAGCGGTGAAGAAAACCGAAACGAATAACTTGCTTGGAATGACTCGTTCCTTGGAGACACCAGTTTCGCTGCAAAGTCTAGGGCCCCATTAGAAATAATTTGGGAGCCATTAAATAGCAGATGTGCAACTAAATGGTAAGATATTAGATAAAAGATATGGAGCTTAAAAGTCGCAGTCGCCATGTTGGCGCTCCTAAGAGACAATGAATCTGGTGCAGTTAGACCATTCTCAGTGGTGTGAAAGTTATACGAAAGAAGAGCACATTAACCACTTGGACCATTTTATCTAATAAGGTTAAGGTCACCAGTTGGGTTGGTCACCAGTTGGGTTTTAAGTTTAAGTATTTTAACCAGTTAAACTATTTTTTTTTAGGTAGGACCGTTTTAAGCAGTCAGACCATTTTATCTAGTTAGACTATTTTGATCAATTGGACCTTTTTAAGCGAGTGGACCATTTATCTGTTTAAACTATATTGATCCTTCATGGCTATGACCATTTCATAAAATAAAACAGTTTGAAGCAGTTGCACCATTTATTTAGTACATGCACTTCAGGCGATTGGACCATTTCAAGCAGTTCGACTATTCTTTCTAAAGAGACCATTTGCTACCTGTGGGACCATTTTGTGTAGTTAAAGCATTTTCACTTGTTGGTGTTTGTGGCTACCGCTACCCATAGGAGGTAAAGTCATATATCTCGTCGAGATGAGTGAGTGAGTGATGGTAACAATAGAATTCCGATCTCGACCCAATTTTGACCCGATGTCTCCCGGTGAAACCTATTATTTGTTTCAGAGTACTACAGAAGAAAATAAACGTCTGACAATCGTATCAGGATGGCGCATAAAAAACAAAGCTATTCCTTGCTGAGATATGTCCAGTAGATCCGACGATATAATTTCTTCAGTTCTTGCCGCAATTCTTAAATTAATTTTATTTATTGGAAGATAGAGCATATTACTATTTCAACTAGCGGCTAATGGCCAAAATAGCCGCTAATTTTGCGTTGCGAGCTAGTTACAAAATACCACACCTCGAGTTTAACAGGGTGACCTTATTCGATGGAGTGATGAAACGCTGGAATGGCAGAATATCCTACAACGCGGAATGCCTTGTTGCATGAAACAAAAGTCTAACAAAAATGGAAGGGCAATGAAATACGAAAATACTTTACAACAAACAGACAAAATGGAAAGAATCATTATTAGAGCCTAGAAGATAGACCGATAGAGGAAGAGTCATAGATAACGAAACTGGCTAATAACAACTCTGAGCTCTTCCAAATTTACTGATAGCCTTAAAATACGATTGTCTTCACCTAAATCTCTTCTATAATTTGCGAGCTGATAGGCAGGTTCTTCATCTCCGTCTTTAAAACTTCTAATATTTTGATAAATCGGCAACAACGAATGATTGTTGTTCAGTTTTCAGAATTCAGAATGTACGCCTTGTTTTCATCTCATAACTTGCACCAGAGGACCCTGAAGTGGAAGAAGAGCCAAGCTGGAGAGGCCTGGTTGTATTTCCCTCAATTTCATTTTCATTATGGGGTATAAAAAGGATCTGTTTCTCTACTTCGATATTTGAAAGAGAGAGAAATTCCCGAAAAACTTTGTTCTTAAGAGGTAAAAATATGGAAGTTAGCGAAATAGTCAATACATCTCTTGAGAAAAAGATACTAGTAGCTCTTAAGGCTGATCGAAACAACATTGTAGCACCTTTAATCCAAACAAGTTTGCACCCTAGTCTTTTCTGTAGGATAACCACAGTGCATATAATTAAAAATTCCCTAAAAATCAAGTTTTTTTTTTTTGGATATCTCAAAAAAGTAGACCTTGGAAAAGAGAAAGAAATGCTGTGTTAATTTAGCTTAAGATCAAGTTTTAAAAAGACTCGCACAATAGGAAGTTGCCATGTACTTTAAAAGGTACGAGGCAGCTATTTCTTGTGAGACCTTGTTACCCTCTCGTCGGTAACTTTGTACAGTTGACTTTCTCCTCGTATAAACTTTACTACCTCTTGGAAAAGAGAAGCTAGTCTGAGATCTTAAAAATGATTTTATTCTTGAGAAGGAACTTTACGATATTGCAAGCCGATTGATTTTGAGTTATAGAAAGCAGATGGCTGTTGTCAGTGCAGCTCTCATTTTAGCAAGAAAGAGTGTGAAAAGAAGAATTCGGCGATTGATGAGGCTAAGTCTAATGAAAACCATACATAGGTGACTTAAATAAGTTCTAGGACAATTCCTTAGATAAGTTAAAGGATTAGCTATCAGATAAGAGTCGTAAAAGTAAAATTTTGTTTCGAAGTTCTGAAAATGTTTTAAGTGAATCAAAAGACAAGCAGTTGCTAACAAGGAAACTTAAAGAAGTTGTAATTTTTCACATATGCATTGACTGTTGATATTGCCAGCAGGAACAGAGCAGTTGAACCTCTCAAGAAGTCTCCAAAGCTTATTAAAGAATAAACAAGCGTGGGTCTTTACGCTGACTGAACGTTCTGTGCGTAAATCCCGAACGAGAATTCACGGGTGAAGTTACAGAGGAGATGGAGAGCCACAATGTAAGAATTACAAGTGGAAATATCAAAATCCATCGTGAAAATTGCTTTGTCACGATATTAAACAGAACTTTGGCCGTACGATTATTCCATTACAGTACATTTCTTATCTTCATACTCATCAGTTCTGTAGTTGTAAAGCTTGGCTCTTAAACCAACGACCTCGACTATTTGCTTTCCACCTGTTTCATCTTACATCACAACGATTACTTTCTTGTTTTCTGTAAAGTATGTTCTATCGTCTTTTAAAAAGTTAGAGGTATCAAAATTTGACTCTGCATCACTAGCTATGTCAGCGTAAAAGCATTCTGTTTTTATCAGTACATTAACAAGTCCGTATCTATGAAGAGTAGTTCTGTTCTATCTCCATACTTGTCTTTCATATAATTGTAATGTAAATCAAACATAAACGTTTTTCTCAGGTCTAGAATGCAGATTCCAAGACATTCTGGCTTGTTGAAGAAACCTTTAGTCTTTTTCATGTATACTTCAATCAGATTTTCATCGAACCTTGCTTGTAAGCTTCTCAGCTTTCTTCCGATTGTTTACCAGCCTTACATCATCTACTACTATACATATGTTTTACATCGTCTTCCTAAATACTGAGTTGTTCTTCATTTTGAAGCAATCTTTATCAAAGTCTGATTTAGCCTCCAATCTCAACTTAGTGTTGAGATCTATAGAGGGTTTTAGCCAACTCAAGGTGATTATATGAAGTAGGCACAATTGCACAAGTGATTATAGAGCTACACGCGCTATGATTGGTCGATCATTCCGTCACAGACCGCTAACACTATTCAGGACAGAGGCTGACATTTTCGAAGTTTAAAGGAAGAACGCACCAACATTTTTCGGCTACAAATGTGGAAGACAAGTAACTAAACTTATTTTTCTGAGATAAGAGTAGGTAGGTTTATTACTTACGAGGTAAAATTACACACATCCATCTCAATCTTACAGGAAAAAGATTCTTCCAACCGCTTGCACTAAGGATTAAGGGACCTTCTTTCTTCTTTTTGAATGATCGCTAATCAATTCCATGAGACTTTGTTGTGTTACTACAGTATGCTTATGTTTTCGTTTTCTAGAAAATACTTTGTCACGCTGTTTTTGTTGATGAAAGTAAGGTGAATTAAGGAGCTCATCAGGGAAATTAACCCCTAATGGCCGTAAAGTCTCCACTAAGTCCAAAAAAACAAGTTTATTTGTATTGTTGACAAACGTTAATGCCCAGCCAGTGGATCCTAACCTGCTTGCTCGTCCTACTTGATGAACATATTCCTCAATAGAGGATGGCATGTCAAAGTTAATCACCTGAAAAGTCAGTAAAGTGATTTATGTCATTACACATGCTTGCACTGTAATCAGTGAAACCCCAACATTCCTGAAAGGAATTTTACTATAAATTGCAAAATGAACTTGTCTATAATACTGCTAAATTCAGTTCTGTCTACATTTAAGAAGCCCATGGTAAATGTTGTGCAAAGAATGTACCATCTTGCTGGCAATAATTAAACTGTGGAAGAGTTTCCAGGAAAAGACTCTTTTCTTATAACAAGCTAATTGTTTCAGAGAGATGGGAAAATTCAGAGTGGCACGGCTCTAACATTTTTTCTGAGACATTTTTAAGATGAAGTCTGAAAACATAAATTTTTAACTGCATGGTCATGAATTCTCACCTGTCTAACTTTGGGAAGATCCATTCCCCTTCCCAGCAGGGAAGTGCATACAAGAACAGGACATTCACCACCAAGAAACAACTCTAATCTCTTACTCCTTTCTTTCTGTGACTTGTCTCCATGTATTGACAAGCAGCAAATATTGCAAATCTTCAGAGGAAAAAATATTTTAGTTAAGCAGGAATCTTCAATTTTTTCTGAGAAAGATAGGGGCTGGGGAACTTTGCAACACAAACTAGGTGTTATCTTTTCAGTACAGTACACTTCTAAAACTAGTTCTCTTTGTGTGATGGGATAAATTTAAGGTCTCTTCATGGCCTTTATAATAGGTACTCATCATTGAGAAAGGAAAAAATAGGAATGAGACAAATAACACAAAAACAAAAGCATAATGACACGTTTCTTTTTTCTGTAACAAAATCTCAGAATACCACCTTCTGTATTGCCTCTGCAAGCAGATCAGCTCCAATCTTAGAATTCACAAATACGACAACAGGAGGCATGAAGTGCTTGGGGTCTTGAAGAAGAGAAAACAGGTGTTTTTTCTTCAATTGTTCCTCTACCCACAGCACAATCTGTTTCACGGAAGCATTTGGTTCACTAGGTGAACCAACAGAGACATACACTGGATTGACAAGCAGCTTGTCAGCTACAATTTCAATAGAAGTTGAAACTGTTGCTGAGAACATTAACGTTTGCTTCTCTGCTGGCAATTTGTCAATTACTTCTTGAACCTACCAGAAATGAACAAAAAAAAAAGAGAGAAATGATGCTGTGTAGAGAGCTACTCTGGAGTATAGATTCATTATTGTGAGATCTTTACCAACACAGCAACAGGAAATAAGCTAAGATATAATTGAAATGTTAAAGACAACAAAAATTGATACAAGTAACAAAAAACTACCATGACAAATTGCTTTTTTGTAACTTGCATTTGCTCCTCCTCCAAATACCTAGTAAATTTTGACTAAGCACATCCCATAAAATGCAATTTTCTGAAGGACTCAATCATATCCAATAAAAACCAAACAATTTGGAGCATCTGTGTGAGCAACCTTTGCATTAAGTTTTTGGGAAAGTATAATCACTCACATTCTTGTGGACTTCCTCTCTTGTTTGATGTGTTAACTTATCATCAATTAATCAATTTTACATATCATACTTCACATGATAATTACAATGACCATGGATGTTGTGCATGCAGCAACTGAAACCACATTCATCCTTAACCAAGGGGAGGGGAAGGGGCTCTAAAGATCCAACAGTTGAAAATAGCTAATTGTTTTGTTGGTGAGTGGGAAAACTTTTATGTACTAAGGCACTTTGGTTTTGAAATTTTTGTGCAGAGTACATGTACCTTAATAATTCAATGTTTCTGGACATTTTGGGCTTAGTCCTTTGTCGCTTCATCAGTGGAAAGAGAATTTGATTCTACAGTGAAGTTTGTGGTAAATAATACCTGTTGCTCAAATCCCATTTGCAACATAATGTCCACCTCATCCAGGACAAAAACCTTGACAGAAGAAAGATCAACACTAGACTCTGTGTTAACTATTTCCCTCATCCTTCCTGGGGTAGCCACAATAATCTGTACACCTGAAGAAAGACGATGAAGCTGTGGAGGAATTGGCATTCCACCAACCAGTAATGCTGTTTTCATGTTTGGTAGGCCCTGCATCAGTTCCTTTGCTTGCTTCTCTATTTGCGTACAAAGCTCTCTTGTTGGAGACATTATCACACCAAAAGGATTGTTCGACAATCTTTTTGCATTGAACAAAAACTCTGAAAAAAGAAAGTAACATGTTGAAGCCCATTGTCACTTCAAACAATACTTAAGGTCAACAACAAAAATTAAGGGTTAGGGTACTGATGTGAGGGAATTAAGAGCCATTAAATGCATGTGCCACCTGTAGGACATACATGTACACAAAATTTAAATACTGCAAGAGTGCAGCACATCACAAAATGAAGAATTTTAAATTCCTCAGTGCAAGGTACAAGTACATTTATTTGTCACTGAATCATAAACAAGAAGTATCTAACCCTTAATTTAATTAATTAAATGAATCATGTTTTTGACCAGCAGAGGATAGCAAGTAACAAAATGATCCTTCCAATTGAACTGCAACAAAATTGCAGAGAAAGAAGCCAAAAGGCAATACAGACATTTTAAATACTAGTAAGGAACTTTTAAATAAAATAATAAGTTCTTAGCTTCATCAGTTCCAGACAACAAGAGGGAGTTTATTTATGAAGGTTGCAAGGTTGCACCAGTTTGTAGATAGAAGCAAACATGATGGACAAAATGAGTATAACTTTGCAAGGAAAATCAAGTTATTCACTTGGAACACAATAGTTCATTATGTCTTAAAGAAATACCATTTTCATAATGTAATGTGGTAGTTCCTTAGTGCTAACAAAAATGTCATAAAATAACTTTATGATTTCCAATTTCCCTTGAAACATATTTGGATGTGGGTGTGGAGGTCAATAAAATATACACTTGAAGCTTTGAAGCCATCAACAGATATTGATAGAGTTTAAAAAAAGTTTTTTTTTTGGTAGTTAAAAAGATGTACAAAAAGAGTCATGAAAAAACTCCTGTCAATGCACTGATCATAGGTGTGCCAAACTCTGTAGTAAAGTCCTCTAATAAAGGTGGCCAATTTACATTATCAACTCTGTTGATAACACTCAATTACCCTGTACTCTCCCATCGATACAGCACCATAGTTTTTTAGAAACTTACCCCTTTGATTCATCTGGAGAACAAAACTACTTACTTAATCAACTGAGTGACCTCTCAAAAGAAAAGTTTGATCTCATAGTAATTCTATGCTCAACATTCAGATTTACTGAAAATGATGGAGTTAATCTTGAGTAACATCAACTAAATGCATATTTGAATTTTTTTCTTCAAAAACATGTGAAGGTTTGAGTACTCTCATCATCTTGACCATTGCAAAACTACAAACAATCCAACTCAAGGGTTGAGTCATTTCATACACCTTCTATTCAGTGTAAGACAACAAGTAAGAAGCATTATCTCTTTGGGACAACATACATTTAGAGTTGTGCTCTTCATCACACCTTCAGCTACTGAAATTAAAAAGGGTATCAGCCACCATCCCCAAGGGTCAACCCACTGGCAACCCGCAAGTGTGGAAGGAGATTTGGTCCAAAATCTTGTCTCACACCTTAGGACATTTTAGCTCTTTCCCATTTACACTCAAATAACCATGGGATTTGACATACTGTTGGTTGTTTGCCTTCATCCAATAATAGTTTCTAGTATAAAACTCTTGAAGATTTTTGGCTTTTTAAAATTGTTTTTAGGAGATTCTCATTGTTAGTTGTCTCCTTGGAATATGTCATTGTAAACATTTTACTGTAGAGACGATTCAAAATAAAATTACCATCAACTCAAAAGTTCATATTCATAATGGAATTGACAAGGGAAATAGAATCACCCATTCAATGTTTTACTTGTGTTAAATAATCTTGCCATCATTTATACAATGCTGTTGCACTGTTTATTCTTATCAATGAGTTTTACCAAAGAGGTTACACCAGAAAATGGGCGTAAAATATTATTGTTCCTTCAGTGAAAGTCTCTGACCATATTTCTATGATTTCTTTTTCTTTACTTGTTATGTTAACAGTCTTGTTTGTTAAGACTTAACCATCCTTTACCATCTTTAATTTAGAGCTTGGAAACATAGAGAGGCAATGCTGTTTTTTAAAACAGGGTTGCCGACTATATGTTCCAAGTTTGAAATCGATGATGGTTTTCCATTTCCTAATAACAGTTTCTGCATCAGATATATTTTGATCCAGGTGGCTTGCAGTGATTTGTTGAAAAATGCATCATCAATCATTTTCAGTCCACCTTTGAGTAATCATTGATCATGGGTCAATGTGCTGCAAATATGCATAAATTACACTGTTCATCCAAACTAAAAAGAACTTCATAGAGATATGGTTATAATTCTCCTCCGAAAAACTAAACCTGAGCACAGATCATCCTGAAATACTGTAATATACATATTGTATATTATATATTATTGGAAAACATATTATGTTTTCCAATATACATATCGGAAAACAACTGGCGACTGAAGACTAATTCTGCAGATATCGTTCACTGCATAAATACAAGCTAAGTAGATCATAGAGTTAAAGGAAATTCTCCAAAACATCTATCTTTTATTCAACTAACTCACCAACTTCTGCGTATATCCTCTGAATAATTGGTACTAAAAATGCTGCTGTCTTTCCTGAACCAGTGTGTGCACAGACCAATAAGTCTCGGGAACAAAGGCTCACCGGGATAACTTGCATTTGAACTGGAGTTGGAGTAGCGTATCCACAGCGAACCAAGTTACTTCCTAGAGTTTCAGTCAGTTGGCAATGCTTAAATTCTAGAATAGGTTTGCTTACATTATTCCCCCTCACCCTAATGTTTAGAGCCTCTCGAATATCATCAACCTTGCTCACTGATAACTTTGCTATGACCGGATTTTCGTTGTATTGAAGTTGTAACTTGTTTGAGAAAGCTTTCATTCTCAATGCTCCTCCGCTTTCAGCCGTGCTGTCCAACAACTCTTCATCTTTCTTTGCCGATGTGCAATTTAAGTGTCTTGCTTTGCATTCCAAACTGCAGACGTCTCCGTCTGTTTGGTCCACAATGTAGGCTCCATATCGCCCACAAATCACGCACACCGGTTCTCCAAGTGTTGGCCACCTCTGATTTTTACTATACGAAATCACTTTTTCTTCTTTTTCACCTTCTCCTTTGTCCATATCATCTTTGCTAATATCTTCGGCGAAAGTTTCTTTTAGGTAGAACGCGAAAGGGTCTGTAAAGGCTCCTGAATCATCACTTTTCACGGGTATTGGACTTGGGTTCGTAACCGATTTCCGTTCATCAATTATCTCTATTTTTCTTAAGTTTGAATTTTCAGTGGAGATGGGGTTTGACTTATGTGAAAGGTGGTAATCTACCCTTCTAGTTACAGATCGCGGAACAAACATGGCAGCCAAACTCGTTACTCGGTGTTAGTTCCCACTAAGGGTGACGCTATATCGAAGGCGTTCGTCGAGGGTAAGAGTACACGGTAATTTTGGTCAGCGGGGACATTATGAAACCCGCGAATGTTGCGAAAGCTCGCGAAAGGATGACATCTAAAAACAGAAGACATATATGTTATTTGCCGGCTGGGAGGTCCGTATGGTGAAAAACTGTGACCGAGGTTGTGTTTTCTTCAAAATCAGTTAATGATCTAACGGAAAGTATTATTCACTCTCATCCACCATTCATTTATGTACGAAGATTTACCTCTGTTCATCAAGCAAACGGCGAGGAAAGTGTGAGTAAATTTAATTTTTTTATTTTGAAGTTGTGAGAGTTTGCTCGTTTGTTTGCTGTAATGGCGTGTTTAACTCTGATCTTTCCTTCACAAAAACTAAATTCGAACGGCACACTCCAACGAGACACAAGGGAATGTAATGCGGCCTTTTCTCAAAAAATTCCTTCAATTTCTGTTGTGCAATTTAAGGTACAAATGTCCAAATTGAACGGAATTGGAAAGACTCACCAGGAGCGTATATTTGTTGTAGAACTTAAATTAAAACTTCGCTCGCTCTTTCACTATGAACAAATTGCTCGAGAAAATTCAGATATTAAATGAATGAAAGTTCCATCTTTCAGTTTAACTGTAACCAAATACCTCACGTTTCAACTTTCTGGGTACTTTTTGTGAACGATTAAAATTAATTGCAGACGGTTTTTAGGCCGCTTGTCAACCAACGTAATGACATTATTGTTTATACAAATTCATTCTGAAACCAATATTTTTCTGTCAACCAAAGTGATTTGATAGAGAGAAAAGAGAGGATTCATAAGTTATTTATCGGCTTGAGGTAGTGACCGACGTGTTTGCTTAAAAATACTGCCCGGCCAGCCGGAAAACGAGGTATATTTATGAAAAATGACAACGAAAGTTGGGATGTACTCGGCGACTCACGAAAGCGTTACCGTGGCCCGTGGGCAGAGATAGGAAAATACTGACCGGGTAAAGAACCAATCAGATTGCAAGATTCGTTACCGTGCCCTCTAAAAAAACAATAAAACATATGATTGGACACTAGAATAAATTAGAGATTGACTTCCTTGAGGAAAACCTTGAAAATTGTTCTGTTGAAAACCAATACTTCTTGGGTTAGTTCGACGGGAAAAGAGACGAGTTCGAGGATATGCTCGAAAGGTTTCTTCTTATTAGTTTCACATGCTTTGTAAAGGAGGCCTTGCACTCAAAGGAGTTAAATCACAAGAAGTTTTCGAAAAATGGTAGGCAGTTTCTTTTATTTTTAGCTGATTTGTTTGCCTTTATCAATTCGGTGTGGGACTTGTAGAGACTTGATCTTTGGCCGCAATTTTGTAAAAACTTGCGTAATGTTTCGGGAGTAAAAGTGTTAAAATATTTAAAAGTATTTCATATATAGGAAAGCCCTTGGAAAACACTCAAAGTGCGTAATCTAGTCTACCGAAATACTTTTTCAAATAATACATTTGCAGCGTCTCCCGTCTCTGAACACAATGGTGGTAATGTACCGATCCAATTTTTGGCAAACCGTTTACCATCGTAAGCAATGAAACTCGGCATTGCCTCCACGGACCAATAAAGGTGAGAATTCCTTTTGAAAACAGAGTTTGAAATATAATGAAACGTACCAGTAGTATTCGATTTTCACATAACCCGCGAAATTGTTGTAATTTTTTCCAGGTATTTTAGTGGAGGAATCCATCGAGCTTTTCGCATACTGAGGAAACAAAATCGGAAAGGTCATTTACATCCATTTAATTCAGAATTCCCCATAAACGTAGGGTGTGTACAATTCTTGAAATTCCCGTTCGTTTTTTCACGAGTTATCTGACGTTTCAGTGTTGACAAATTTTTCGTATTACGTAAGTAAAAAACATTGAACTTCTCTCAACGGACTCAATGCTGCAAGGAGAATCTCTCTCATAATTTAATTTTTTAAGAGACGACATCACCGTCTAAAATTCAAACGTTGCTGTTAGGCTTATTAGCGCATTGATAACCTAGTAAATAGCTCAAACATACTGAAAACATTTTCATTAGTTTTTGTATAACTTTATCTGTGAGCCACGTGTGAGTAAACAAAAACAGAGAAGTATAGTTTGATGGTTCGCTTTCATGAATCTAGGATTTTGGGAATCGCTATAAACTACGCGATCACGGATTTAGAAATATTTCTTCTCCTAATGATTGATACTGGAAGAAAATAGTAACGGTGTAATGCCATTTTATGTGCCCGTTATAAAAAAAATTTGAGCTCGCATTTAGCTTACAAGTAAAAATCCCATGAAAATTGTTCAAAATAAATATATCTCAGTGGTTATTTTATGACAACCACAAAATACTCAAACAAAATCAAGAAACTGCCGCAGGACCTCAAAGCTCCTTCGTTAAGAACGATCTTTTTTTAATTTTTCGTGGGGAACAAGTGCTGAAGCTTACATGACATATTTCATATTTAACCGCTGTACTACAAACTTGTGTGTTCGACCCTCGACGAACGCCCTCGATATCCTCGATATGGCATCAGTTCCCAGTGTTCCTTCTCGATTCGTGGTCAAGACTTAAGTGGTACTTCATGTAAGAAAGTAACAGTTTGCATGAGAGAGACAGAGAGCATGGCTGTAACTCTCGATTTTAGTCATTAAATGCATGAGAGACGACGAATTACTAATGACTTCATTAACAAAAAGTCGTTTTGCTGTCTTAGAGGTCAGCGATGATGACAGCGAAGGAGAACTCCAGGGGGTCAGTGATGAGGCACGAAGGAAATGCGATGACAGCAAAAATGCTAGAAAAACAAAGAAGAAATGCAAGAAGAAGAAAAGGAGCAGACAGAAAAGTAACGAGGTGGTCGAATTGTAATGAACTTATTTTTAAATCCTGTGGATTAAATTATAGCTTATATTGGAAAGTTTGCATTCGGAGCTAGACTAAGAAGAAATTAAATATAGAATAGCCTTCTGTCACAAGGACTAAGCTGAGGATCGTATCTCTGTAGAAAGAAGTTTGAATGTAACCTTATTTACGATGCAGATCTCCATATTTGTAGAAGTATGGAGCAATATAAAGATTTGTACGACATCGACATCTTTCTTAAGGGAACATTCAAATCAGCAAACCTCCCTGAGCCCTACCCTCAATTTATGATTTCTTTTATTTTAGTCATCTGAAACTGCTGTAATGAATAGGGTGGATTCAGGTGGTAAAGAAGCATCTGTACAAAGTGGAGATTGGGATGAATGGAAGCAAAAAGATGAACAGGTTTGATTTTCATGTCAGATATAATGTGATGTTGTTCCTAGAAAACAATATTTACCGTTTCTTTGAAAGACGAAATGACGTTTTTTTAGTTGAACAAACATTTTTCAACGTTTCTGTGCCATCTTCGGTTGCAAATGTTCCTTGTAGAATATGAAGCTTTCTTTACCATAGCAACATAAAATTACACAAAAAAATTATGTTTTAAAAATTCTTTAAATATTAAGTTAGGTCCACAACTGAAATTCTGAAATACTGGGAAGAAAAAAAATAGTAATAGTAGTAAAAGTAAGGTCAAGAACGGAAACTAGTAATAGCAGAAAGTCATCAACAAAAATTGAATAAAAGGAGATAAATGTAAATTCTACCATTTAATGTACAGTTAAAAATCATGCTTATCTTAACTAAAAATAGAGGAAACACAATAAATATATGTGTGTATTTATACATGCATGTACATACTTTGACAAATGGATCTTCAATGTCTGTTGCTACAAAATTAACTATTTCTGTGAGCATCTGGTGTAACCATTTAACTCCCAAGTTCTGATTTTTAATTGACCCCTCTAACCTCAATATATTTCCTTGAATTTAGTAGTTATAAGAATTTAGTGTTAAATCAGGATAATAGCTTCTACCTGATATCTTTGAGTATTCTTATTACCTGTTTGTTGGATAAATACATGTTATTTGCCGCCTGTATGGTGAAATACTGTGACTGAGGGCAGCATTTTCAAGACTGAGGTCACAGTTTTTCACCATATGGACTGACCCTTGAAGCCGATAAATAACATATGTAATTTTTTTTTTTTTAAATTAACAAAATTCTTTCTGGAAGTACCCGAATGATTTAGTGCTGTAAATATGGCAAGATCTTTCATAAACTGAACAATTTTTGAGCGACTGATCAGTAATTAAAATAGAGGTGATGCAAATTAAAGAGAGATGCTTGACTGAAACATTTTCATTTGCATAATGTAAAGGTGATTTAAAAGGCTTCAAAACAAACTTTGAAACATTATTTTTACAAGTGTCTGTCACAATCTGACATCTGTCAATTAGAGAGTGTGTAAGAAAAGAAAAAGCATATGTACACTTTTGAAAAACAATGAAACTAGTTTGGCAAGGACTGTTACAATATTGTTTTCTTCAAAAATAGACAATGATCTTCCAGAAAGTATTATTCACTCTCATCAACAATTAATTCATGTACGAAGATTTACCTCAGTTCATTAAGTAAACGGTGAGGGAAGTAATTGTAAATAAATTCAAATTTTTTATTTTGAGGTTGTGAGAGTTTGCTCGTTTCTTTACTGATATGGCATGTGTAAATCTGGTCTTCCTCCATAAAACCTAAATTCAAATGAGACACTCCAAGGAGACACAAGGGTATTTAATGCAGCCTTTTCTCATTGAATTCCTTCAGTTTCTGTTGTGCAATGTATGATACAAATATCTAAATTGAACAGACTTGGAGAAACTCACCAAGAGCATATATTTGATGCAGGACTGAAATTAAAACTTCACTCGCCCTTTCACTACAAATGAATTGTTTGAGAAAATTCAGATACTAAATGAATGAACCAAATGTAGCCAAATGCCTCACATTTTAACTTTCTAGGTACTTTTTGTGAACAATTAAAATTAATTGCAGATGGTTTTTAGGCCACTTGTCAACCAACGTTAGTAACACTATTGCTTATACAAATTCATTATGAAACCAATATTTTTTCTGTCAACCATAGAATTTGGGAGAGAGAAAAGAGAGGACTAATAAGTTATTTATTGGCTTGAGGTAGTGACCCACGTTGTTGCTCAAAAATACTGCCTAGCCGGAAAAACGAGATTTATTTATAAAGAATTGGCATTGAAAGTAGGGATGTACTCAGTGACTCAGGAAAGCGTTACCAACTTGCCCGTGGGCAGAGATAGGAAAATACTGACCAGGTAAAGAATTAATCAGATTGTAGGATTCGTTACCATGCCCTCTGAAAAAAAAAAATAATAAAGGAAAATACAGACTGCATAAAGAACCAGTCAGATTGCAGGATTTGTTACCATGCCCTCTGAAAAAAAAAATTGGATGATATTATAGGAGAACTTACATGTTAATCAGTCCTGGGTTAAAGTTAGGTGCATATTTTTAAGCCGTTAAAAAAGTTTTAAAATGTGTAGTCAACCTTGAATTCCAAAAATTTTTCATCTTCAGAGTCACCATAATAGCTACTGCAATGGTAAAATTCTAACATGTTAAGACCTGTTAAGCTTAGTGGCACTAAGCTTAACAGGAATATCACACCCCTTTGTTGCTTCTGTTGAGTATTGGGAAAACTTATGTCAAAAAAAGATTGAATGATGCAACCTAGGGTTTATTGCTGATTAAATAGCTGATTAAAGTACTTCATTTCCTCTTCAGTTTGTACTTGGTCAATTCCAAAGGGACCTAAAGGTATGCTGCAGTTTTCAATTTCTACATCTCTTTTTTATTAGTGTATGACAGCATGTTGGCTAAGCTGTTATCAAATGTACTGATGGATTTATTCAATAAAGTACCCTTTTTCCTCATCTATGCCAAAATGCTAGGCAAAACACACTGCTTTATGCACTGATCAATTCAAAACTTCAACATCCCCCCACCCTAGGCAACCCACAAGCATTTGACCATCATCTTTGCCTGAAGGATGGGGAATTTGAACCTTGCCTGGTTGGGGTGGGGAATTTGAACTGAAAGTGTCAAGTCTTTCCAGTGAAACGCAAGTGTTATATATTTGAATATAGAGTGGGTTAATTGTAAATAGATTTTACCTTTTGCAAAACAAAATTAATAGTGGCGTTTGAACACAATATTTTCCTTAGGGGTGACAATTTGAACAAACCAATTCTTAACATGCTAAAATACCTGGAAGGTTACCTTAAGGCAGGCTAATGTTGAAGATTAGAATTGATTGATGCATTGGGATGGAAATGTTTGATAACTCAAGGGCTGTACAGTGTTCAAGAGCCAAATTTGCTGTAGCACTTTAATGGCCAACATTCATGCAAATTTGATGGGAATTTGTGATGCATGGCTGTATGGTTTTCAAGGGGAGTTCAGTATGTACTTACTGTGCACACCATGCTGTCATATTGGCCCCTATTCTTGGAACATCTGTAGGAGATCATGCTTGGGGAGTTGTTTGTGTGATTAAGGTCATTTTTTAGTTGATCAATAATGGAAGTGATGCCTTGATTCTTTGCTTAATGTGAGATATTTTTGTACCTGAAATAGAAAATGACAAGAAATTGGTGTAAGTTTAGCAAAGACACCAAACATCCAATGGATACATTGAAATATAAAATTGCTGGCAACAGAATCTATTACTACCCATAGATATATTTGAACTGGTTGAATTTGATCCAGAGCATCCTTTTAGATTTGTGTTATTTGTGGTGTAGCTGAGTAGAAGTTACTCACTGAAGCTTTCTAAAGAGACATTTCTGTGAAAACCCAAGAACAGTGTTTGTCTATCACAAAATTTTGGGGTATGTGGAATAAAGTGCATCATGCCCAAAAATTCGCATGAGAAATACTGGAAGAATGAAAATTACTAAGCACCTATAGAGACCCTGAAGCAGCTGGTGGTTTAGATGGAGTTTGATAATTTGCTCAAACTCATAAACTTTCTATAGAAAAAGACAGACATCTATTAGAAATTGATCTAGAAGGCAAGGTACATTTTTCCAAATTACCCATATTGGTCTTCAGCATTGACCAATGATAGCCAACCTGGTAGAAATACAGTTGTTGGCCAAATACAACAAGGGAAACAGAGACCTGTTGAATGTAATCAAAGTCCTCTTCAATGTGCTTGGGCGGAACTTGTCAAAGCCAAACTGGTATTGTCTTTGAAAATGCAGACAGACATTGCAGAAGAGTTTTACAATAAGAGATTTCAAAGGTTGATGAAAGGCAGACATTGTTCACTTTCCTACCAAAGGGGCTCCAGCAGATCCAGTGTGGTGAAACAGTTCAATCACAATGTTTGTTGTATTTTCACAGCAGGTTTTTTTTTTAAAAAAAGATCCATAGAAAGTTACTTCCTCTTTACAAATTAAATTGTTCTAATATTGGCTGTCTTGAAGCAATGTTTGTCTGCCTGCATTTTATTTTGTAAGACTCACACAACTTTTTGAAATATGATGCCGAAAATGGACTAGTGTTGAGCTGTGATGCCAAATATTACAGTAGCAAGAATCATCTTTGAGAGAAAACACAGTTCAATAGATTCAGCATCAATGAAATGTGTACCCAATATCACCTTTTATATATGCCTTGCAAATTTTGGTCGTCAAAACTTAAAACCTGCTGTCCCTGAAAGTGACGGTTTGAAGGCCTGGTAGCTTTTTCCTCCTACAGGTTATATCATAAATAATGAATAATCTCTGAGACAGAAATACATTCATTAACAACCATTAACAATTTAATCTTCATCTACATGAAAATACCAGCAGGGTGCTAAATTAAACTTAAGATGATGTGTCCTCTCTTGATAGGAAGCTTTGGAAGCAAGTAAACAAGATGCTTGGCATGCTAAACAAAAGCAAGTAGGTGTACCCGACTTTATGTCAACTGGCTTATGAGATAATTGATTATCAAACATTTTTTGATGAAATTTTTTTGATAGCGGCAAAGCATGCAATCAAACACTGCATTTAGATTCAAAGACCCTGAAAATGAAGACAAAAAAAAAATACCAATTTAGTTTCCTTATTTAAATAATCTTGTCATCATTTCTCACTGGAAAAATATAAAGCCAGTTTTTATTTTTATAGAAGTGATTAAGCATGCAATCAAAAACAGGTTTTATGTAAAAAAGGCCCAGAAAAAGAAGACCCTTATGAGAAGACCTGAAAAGGAAGAACCCCCTATTTTCAAAACAACATGCCGACTCTGAAAGAATTGCACCGCGTTCGCCCCCTATCAAGTTTGCCCCTACCTTATGCCGTGTTCGCCCCCACACTTTTCGAGTTCGACCCCATTAAGTCGAGTTCGCCCCTTGATTGAGTGATATCCAGATGAGTTGATTTGTAACGAAGGCACTACCAGAATGTGCTAAATGTCACGTCAGCGACGACCATTTTGAATTTTGGCAATTGCATGGAACCTGCTTGGGAACTGGGTTGACGGAATCAACTAAACACTCTGCGTAGGATCTGGGGTTACCAAAAATAACTGTATACACAGAACTTGTGATAAAGAGAACCACACGTAATCAAAACAACATTGCTTAACTTATTATTCAGACTGGAAAAGATGTAAAACAACCTGGGTTTATTTAACAAACACGAAATGTGTTGATCGTAACAGCCAGACTTGAGAAGATGCAAACCACGCTTTCATCATGACATCATTGCTTAAGTTGTTAGACTTGTACCTGTTTAGCTTTATTTATGAAATTAAGACTGAAGAATTTACAAAAGCACGATTTGATCATGCTTTTGATTATTTAAGACTTCTTAAGAGAATGCCTTGCACACTTCATTGTGTTTTTGGTCCTAGCAACCATACTTGAGAAGATGCAAACCATGCTTTTATCGCAACAGCATTGCTTAAGTTGTTAGACTTGTACCTCGTTTAGCTTTATTTATGAAATTAAGACTGAAGAATTTACGAAACCACGATTTGATCATGCTTTTGATTATTTAACACTTCTTGAGAGAATGCATTGCACACTTCATTGTGTTTTAAGGTCATAGCAACCAGACTTGAGAAAATGCAAACCAGGATCACAAACCACGCTTTCATCGCATTGTGTTAATCATAACAACCAGACTTGAAAAGATGCTATTAGCCCCATACTATTGTAAAACAAATCTGTTTTCCCAATGGCAATCTATTGTTTTTGTCATTGTTCTCTCAATCCAAGAACTGAATGCATAATGTAGTATGGGGCTGTGCGGAAATTTTACCGACAGAGGCAATGCCACAATGCGAAAAGAGAGGAAGGTTGACTAGGGTGAAATACTTCAACTTCTCCATTATCAATAAGTCTATCGCTTGCAATCGTTGAAAAACAGTTTTTTTAAAAACTTTAACATGGATTCCTGCATTGTCTGCGATCAAATCGTTGTTCTTGTCAAGAGGCCCTCCTTTGCGATGGATGTGAACGTTGGCAACACCGTACCTGCCAAACTGGCATCAGCCAGCAAGACTACTGTGGAGCAGCAGTTCTGGCAAATCAATCAATTGGCACTGTGAAGAGATGAGCCTTAAATCAATCTACACTTTGCTAGCTACAATGTCTTCCTCCAGTTTTTATTTGACATTGCTTCAGCTGGGTAAAGTCCCATTACAGTACCACCTTTAAAGATGAAAGCTGTTTAAGAATCGACAAGAAAAACAAGAATCCAACTGTAGTTCTCACATGATTCCCACTGCCTCTTAGTTTTAAGGGGATGACTGCAGAATTAAGAGAATACATGTAAAGCTGGTGTTTGAGTGCATGTGTTATTGCTCCCAGAAAGGTTTAAAGGGGAGGTGGATATTTCCAGCAAGAAACCGTATTGAGATCATGTTTAATAAAGAAAATAAAGGGGTCTTCGTTTTTGGGTCTTAGTTGTAGTTCATCTTTTTTTGGGTCTTAGGTCTTAAGGGGTCTTCATTTTCACCACAACCAATCTAGAATTGAAGGTCTTGGAACCAATCTAGAATTGAACAACCAATCTAGAATTGAAGGTATTTGGAACCAACATAATGACCAGCTCCCAGTTGGCTTTTTAGTTCAGTTGGTAGAGCACTGCACTGGTATTGCAGAGGTCATGGGTTCAAATCTCGTACAGGCCTGAATTTTTTTTTCAGGCCTTATTTTCACTACTGCTCAAGTAGTGTACATTACTGCAAGGATCACTTTCATTCACGATATTAGATAATGATAATAATAATAATATTAAAGTAAATGGATGGTTTGGGAATTTCCTGCATTCTTCTGGGATATGCAACCTATTATAGTCACAAAAAAGTTCAAATAATGGAAAGTATTGCAACATTTGTTAAAATACCTTGCAGGAATTGATGAAAACAATGACAATTAGCCATGAAGATGATGAGAGGAAGAAGGAAAAGCCTGTTGTGATGTCATTTAATGAGTTTCAACCCATGAGATCCACAACGGGGATAAATTCACCAAAGCTTGAAGAATCTTCCAAAACAGGACTTGATAATTTTCCTGCCTGGCCTAATGGTTTTTCTGTAGGTACAAGGGGAAGTACAAGACATTCAAAAGGTCAGATTCAGAATTTTGTTAAGTTTAGCGTTGCTTGATAAAAATGTTTCTAACTTTAAAAGATATGGAGTACATATTTAGGTGGGCACTGTGCCCTATTGGAAATATGTACAGGAATGTGTCCTTGACAATTGCTGTAGAAGACTGCTTTGTTCTGTATAGATAGTATATGTATGTAGATTAGCCCTGGGCTGAAAGCAGAGCTCTCATTATGGAATTTTCACTATCCTTCATTTTATTAGAACCAACCACAGGCTGTTGAGGCATATAGCATGACACAACAGATATCAATTTGAATTCTGTTGATCACTCCATAACTCTGGGAGAAATTTCTACCTTTGTCTAAACCTTCCCAGACATATGAACAAAAGACAATAGCAAGATGTTGGAAACAAAACTAAATCTAACTAAAGGGGAGGCAGGGGATAATGCATTTAATCCAGGTTTAATGCATAAATTAATCAGACTACAGTGAGTGTCAGTGATTTTAGTTTCATTCCAAAACCTCATGGTATGACATGGTCATACCAGGAGGTAAAATGGGCAAAAAGCATTTTTTCACACAGGATTTTATCCAACTGTTAAACCCATTCAGCTTTCCGTTTAATTTTCCCATCTGTTGAATGCTTTCCTGAATTTTTTGAAAACATTTGTTCCCTGTGGTTCATATATAATTTATATATATATATATATAAATATATATATATATATATTATATATATATGTTGTGATAGGGGAAAAAAACAGAGAGACTATACTTTCATCCCTACAAGCCTGTTTCATGATTGCTCACTCATCAGGATTTTTTGTTAAGAATTTTAGTACCATTGTTTATATGCTTTATAAATTTACATAAAAATAATACTTCAATTGTTATGCAGTAAGGTTTTGTTTCTGTGACAGCATGAGAACACAAGCTCATTACATTTATTGAGTGATGATAATTCAGGTCAGCAAAGGCAGAGGTTGCATCTTTTGTTTGCACTGTTGTAGGGCAATCTTCATTAAAGGATGCGCCGTGAAATATAGTGGTTAATATTATTTTCTTTAAGGGTCCAGATATGCTTGCTGAGTTCGGTAGAGTTTCTGAGTTTTGTGTGTCAGAATGATGCAGTGTGGTTTCAGTATCTAGTCTTGAATGCGTTTGTTGTGGTTGTTTTTTATCTGTTTAGTGTTATTCATGCAGCTGTAACTGATTTTGATTGTGTTAAGATTAATGATTTTTCTAAGTTTGTGGTCTTTTGGGAAGTGCTTGTCTATTAGGGCAAGGAAGCTGTGTCTGATATTGTTGCTTACATTTTTGCTGTATGGGGGGTTGTACCAGAGAATGTTGTTCCACAGCATCAGTGATCAAGTGGTTTAAAGCCATTAAAAATAAGAAACACCACAGTTTTATTTGTTTTAACATAGAAGAATTCTACCTCTCCATCAGCCAGTACCTCCTGAACAGAGCACTCAACTTTGCCTCAGCCTACAATAACATCACTGACAACAAAAGAAACATCATAACACATGCAAAACAATTAATCCTTGTGCACAAACAACAACCCTGGCAAAATATGGGCGATACAACATTTGACGTCACAATGGGCAGCTATGATGGTGCTGAAACATGTAAGCTAGA